GAAAATCCCAATTGATAAAAGTTTAATATTATTTTTAAATAATCTTAATTAACAGCAAATCCTATAAAACGTGGTGGAAAAATTGGTGGAAGACAACCTCGTGGCCATAGAGTATCTGAAAAGAGAGAGAAGAACCCATAGAGACATCCAAACTTTGATTAAATATCGTGACGACTGTTATCGCGTCAACAATTTCTTCAAATGTTTGTCTCTTAATAATTTTTGTTAAATTAAAAATTTATATAAAATATTGTAGAATATCCTGATGATGATGACATTTTGTCATCGAAACTTGTCGATGGAATGAAATCTGAGAATAAATATCTTCTTTAAGTCTTAAAACCGTAATTCGTGTCACTTCATAATTAAATCAACATCAGACGTATAAATAATAAACTAATTGTGCCAGAAGAATAGCTCATTGAAATATTTAAATAATGATAAGAAAACAAATAAAAGAAATTTTATCTTTGACAGTATAAGTCAGATAATTACAAAACGACATTATTATCTTCTTTTTTTTTTACTCTCAAAGTACTAATTACGTCTATTGTAATGATTTCATGTCTATCGAAAAGCGTAAATATTGGCAATGCATAACGAATTCATCCTCTGAAATAATTATTTATTTGTTTATAATTCGAATTAGTACATCAATGCAATTTCTACTTGTTATTAAAACTGATCCTTAAAGTCATGATTTGTTGAGCTTTGTCCACTGTTCATGGAAGCAAACAATACTTACCCAGAAAGATGAAAGGAAGTCGATTGCTTAAAGACGCATGTAGAAAATACTCAAATTTTTAATTTGACAACTGTCATTTTGACGTACCTAATTGTGCAAACTTGAAAGAACGTCACCTCAAGAACATTCATCTGCGTGTGATAAAATAAAAATAAAGATAACTTAATAAAAAGTAGGGTTAACTATATAAAATGAAACAAGAAAATAATAAACATTCCCCGTCTACACATCTCAATATTTAGAAGATGCTGAAAATAAGTGCGAAAATGAAATTTTCTTTCCAGATCATTTCGCTTTCGCTTGTGTTACTGATCAGTTGAAATGAACTTTACAAGAATTTTTCTTTTGTTTATGCTTTTGATAGCAGTTGTTTCAGGCAAGTAATTTCAGCTTATTTAAAATGGCAAATATTTCATTTGAATCATCTTAATTTACAGCAAATCCTATAAAACGTGGTGGAAAACGTGGTAGAGGACGTGGTGGAAGACGTGGTGGAGGCCGTAGAAGTAATGGTTTCCGCAGATTCTTTTTCTAGTTCTTCTGCAGAAGACCCATAGAGACATCCAAACTTTTACCAAATATCGTGACGACTGTTATCACGTCAACAGTTTCTTCAAATGTTTGTCTCTCAATAATTTTTATAACAATAAAATGAAGAAAAAGGCAATAAAATCGTTTTAATATTTGTAAATATTGGAAATAAAAAATGTGTATGTAGATTGCTTTCCTTAGTTCAAAAAGCTCTGTGTAAGTGTCGATTACTTAAAGACATATGTTGGAGCGAAAAAATGCTACAATTTTTATTTTGACAACTGTCATTTTGACGTATCCAATTGTTTAAACTTGAAAGAACGTCACCTCAACAACATTCATCTGCGTGTGATAAAATAAAGATAACTTAATAAAAAGGTATGGTTAATTATAAAAAATAATAAAACAAGAAAATAAGAAATTATTCCCTTTTAACATCTCAGTAACTAGCTTATGCTAAAAACTAAAAACAAATAACAGATAGAGAAGCTTTCTAAACGGAATGTGCCTACGTAATTAAATATGTTTGCAAAATTTCATAGAAAGGAAGGATTTCAGTTAAAGAAAAAGCTTTCAAGTCGGTTTTCACTATATCGAGAAGGACTTAAAAATTATAATGTAGATTCTCAAAGGATCATTTTTGGATAAATAATTAACGACTTTACATTTTCCAATAAGTGCAACGTTTTCAATGGCATAATCTGCAATGGAGGTTTTCCTTAAACCTGCAATTTTTTCAGGAATCCTAAGAAAATTTCTTATGAATTTGAGAAATCTTAAAATTCCTGGAAAATTCTTCCAATAAAATTCACTTTCATAAACAAACAACCTCGATAAATAAATATTTTTTGTCCCCCTTGAGCCATCCGTTTATCGAAGTTCCACTGTTTTTATTTTTGATTTTGACTCATTCACATTCCGAATTGACTGACTAAACAAACGCATAAATAAATAATAATTAGATATCTATTGCTGGTTGTTAAAGGTTCAACCAAAAGCGTTGATAAATGAGTTAATTCCTTTAGATATAAAACACAATTAAATGCTGGACGTTAACTGAACNACCACGCCAAATTTACACAATGTGTAGATATAATTTCAAAACTTAATGAGTGAGTCATGCTCCCTTTATTACAGTTAAACTTCGATTAACAGCTACTTCGATAATCAGATATCCTTGATAAGCGGATATTTTTTGGCACACACTCGAATTTGTATGAAGAATTGCCCCGATTAACAGATATCCTCGATTAACTGATGCCCCGATAAACGGTGGTGAAATTTATATGAAAAACTGACCTCGATAAGCTGATAAACTGAAAAATTTAAAATCGGGGGTCTTAATTTACTCAGTTTCTCAAAATTCGAATTATAAATTCATCCTCTAACTAGCATTATAGTATAATAAACTATAATAGATAAGTTCAAATAATGTTAAAATGATATAATATTGGGGATTGTCGGGCTTAAAAATATATTTCTATATTTCTTCAACACCCTCGAATCCTTGATAAGCAGATATCCTCGTTTAACAGATATTTTTTTGCGTCCCTTGAAATATCTGTTAATCGAAGTTTAACTGTACAACAAATTACAACATTCTACAAAATTATTATGTTGAAGAAAACATTTCATGAAAAATGTAAAACGAAGTATCCAAAGGTTTGAATCTTAATAATAATATGAAAAGTTTCGCAGCGGCAACGACGATGTAAAGATCAATTCAAGCTTATATTTTATACAATTTATTAAAATTGGGAGAGTTTCTGCATGACAATGAAAAAAAAATTATGAGATTTTTGGATCAGTGTCGGTGAGTTTAACAATTTTTATACTTTCTTCCCATAAACGCTTGTGATCTTCTGAAATCGTAACGTAAGGTTGAAGTTCGCATTCTTTGCAATCAGAGAAATATTTTCCAGTCACATCATTAAGTTCTTCAGAACAAGCAAGCGTTATTGTTGTTTGTGTACCTTCCACAACTGTCTTAAAGAAGCAAAAGTTAATTAAAGCGAGTCCAATGCTCAGTGGAAATGGAACATTTCTCCAAATTCCTGTGTCAATCACACCGGGATGAAGAGAATTAACAGTGATTCCAGTTCCTTGTAAACGTTTCGCCAATTCCATAGCGAACATGATGTTTGCGTTCTTTGATACGTAATACAAATAAGCTGGTAGGCCATCTAAATGATTCAAATGTTTCTTCAAATTAAATCTAGCTAAGCGATACCATCCTGATGCCACAACCACAATACGACATGGTGCTGACTTTTTCAAGAGATCAATCAGCAAATGTGTCAATAAAAACGGTCCATAATGATTTGTTGCCATGGTAAGTTCGATGCCATCCACGGATTTTGCTTTTTGGAATGTGTTCCCATAACCCGCGTTATGAATCAACACATCAATTCTTTTCTCTGTTTTGAGAATCTCAGCAGCAAAATCTCGAACTGATTTTTGTGAACTTAAATCAAGTTTTTTGACAAAGATATTTTCATTTCCTGTTTGTTTGATGATTTCATCTAGAAATAGAATAGAAAGTTGTCAATTTTTTGGTTTCTTGATATTTATGATCTTTTCAAATCATTTTTATTGCTGTGTTCATAGAAAGTGAAACGCTTGGGAAGAATAAAACTTACCACGAGCTTCATAAGCAGTATCCATAGTTCTACATGCCATGATGACACGAGCACCACGTTTTGCTAAATCTCTTGCAGTTTCTTTACCAATTCCACTATTTGCTCCAGTGATTAAAACTGTTTTCCCGTCCATTCGAACCTGAATGAATTTTGAAATTATTCAATGGAACTAAATCTAAAACTCGTAACCTACGCTTGATGTGAACATTCCACATGTTGCCTTCACCCATAAGCGAATCAAGAAAATTATTGTAACAACTCCAAAAGCTAAAGTAAAATAGATGGTTGAAGTGTTTGGAAATTCAAACCAAGCCATTTCCTTTAAGAAACTCGCTAAAAATATTAAATAAATTAGTTAAAGAATATATCGAAATGCAGTGACATTTCTTTACTCTAATTATCTTTATTACCTTCCTCAATTCTTATACTTTTCAATCATCAGAAATAATTTAACAATTAAGAAAAAAGACCATACAGTGAACTTGAAATTTTTGAGACCTAATCATGAAGACCTCAATGTTGGCCTTGATAAAGGTAAAAAAAGTACGAAACTTGATATTATAAGTGACCGAATCTTTATTTCCATCAATGATAAATATAAGAGAAACAAATAAAGAAACGAGATGAAGAAGCAAATTTATTTACCTGTGTGTTTATATTTCAATTATGAAATCAAAAACTAACTAAATATTAATTTATTCAATTTAGTAAATTTTTTAAAAATGAACAAGAAGCCAGACGAGTTAATGAAAAACACGTCTGAATGGTTCAAAGGTACGATTCAAACTAATGCAATGTAATAAATGATGAAGAATTTTTTTACGGCTTAACCAGACATAATAAATTAACAAAGCGATTCATCTTGCTTATTTCTTACCAGTTTCAATACAATACACTCTGCAACAATTTTTCAACCTTGACACTTGATTTATTAACTCAAATATTTTTTACATTTACTTAGATATTTACAAGAATCCAAGGTTATAATCAATATATGCGTACGAATATGTATATAAATAATTATAAAAACCTCATCTGAAATTTTTTTATAATTTGATTTGATTAAATTTTAGTTAAAGGATGATATGAAACATCATTTTGCTTGCTGCTTGAAATCGAAGTTCAATTTGACAATGGGATTTGTAAAATTGAATTCTCTCAAAACTTGATCTCGTGAAAATTCTTGAGCACTCAAAGGTAATATATTAAGAAACTTGCACATTGGTTTTTGATATCCTGGTATTGCAACGACACGATCTTCTCTCAAGATTGCTTCGACAGTTTCATAAGCCGCTTTTTTAGTTTCGAGTGCTGGAAATCTAATTCTGGTGCAAACATATTAAGGAAAAAAAATGATTAAATTAAAACCTAACAAAAATAAAAAAATTGAATGAAACCCACTCGGAATTCAGAAAATCAACAATGTCGTCTCTCGTGTTGATGTAGTAAGGACAAATAGTCGTAGTCTTGATATGTTTTCTCCATCGTTTTATTCTCAAGTTTTCTTCCAACGCCGACATAAAACCAAAAGCTCCAAACTTACTCGCAGTGTACGGGATATTGTGTGGACTTGAAAAAATCCCAGCCATAGATGCTATACACACAATATGACCGTTACGATGTTCTTTCATTTGATCCAAAAAACATTTTGTCACCTGATTCATAATTATACGTCAATTAATTAGAGAAAAGGCTGATGCTGATCTTACCAAAATCGGTCCCAGAACATTAACTTTAAGCATAGTTTCAATGTTTTCTGGAGTTTCGTCAAGATTAGAAGTCGACATCAAGCCAGCGTTGTTAATCTGAAATATTAATTAAGACTTCAACAATACATTTAAACTTGATCGTTGCCATAATACGCACCAAAATATCAACTGGTCCAAGATCTTTAAAAACATTATCTCGAAGTTTTGCTATTTCATCTGCTTTGGTGACATCAACTTTATATGCTTTGGCTTCTAAGCCCATATCTCTAATTTCTTTGCATGTCTTTTCAGCTGCTTCCAAATTCACATCAGCAATTATAATTCTACATCCCGCTTCTGCTAATCTTAAACTAATTCCACGACCTAATCCATGTCCCCCTCCTGTCACCTAATTGAGATTCACTTTAAACGTTTGCTTTTTAAAAAAGTTATTTAAGTTTACCAATGCAAGTTTTCCTCGAACATCTTTACGTTTATAAATGAAAATTTTTGTAATTTCAATACAAATTAATCCGCATGAAACAAAAATTGTTTTCAGAACATCCCAAAAGATAAGAAAATAGAATTTAAATGACATAATGTTTCGTATTTAATATTTGTTTGTTTATTTTTTGATCTTTGCACCATCAAGTATATTCGCCAACTAACTAAATAAACTGTTTTATTACTTTTTATGTACTAAAAGTAAAGGTTAAAAATAGAGCAATTATGAAGCAACAAAGTTATAAAATAAAAACTGTTGACTTTGGCTTTTTTAGACTTTTCTCATAATTTTATTTCTTCAACCGACTAGTTTCGAGTCTGGCTTTGACTCACCCTCAGGGTATTCTACAACAATAAAATTTATTATGACAATCGGTGCTCAAATGAATTAAAAAAATCTGAACGTCAGAGTTGTGATTTGACTGACATGTCAGTCAGTCAGTCAAACAACTTGAGCGAAACATTTATATGAACGTTTCCCAACAAACGAATATTTTGGTTTGCGATTTTGACATATTGACTGACTGACAAACATTGACATGTCAGTCAAGTCAATCGAGTTGAGCGTGCAATTTGCCCATCTCTGCTCAACGTAAACTTACAGAAATGATTAAAATAAAATATATAAATAATTTAAAAGGTAGAGCTGGTTTTAATGACGAACCGTGAAGAAGCACTTCGGGGAAACGTTTAAAAATATGTTACTACTGCACTGGATCCAGTAGTAGTGAATGCTGATTTCTTCTTTTCGTTTTTCATTAAAATATTTAGTTCTTGCACTTTAACTAATTATTTAAGATTTTTTAATTTTCAGACGGCTTCTAACCATTGTTGGCATAAGCAGCGAACAGACTTTCACAACCCTTCAAAAGTTACAGCTGCTAAAAGTCTTAACACGTTGAAAAACGTCGTTTTCAGTTCTATCCTACATTAATAGCTCTACCTTTTAAATTATTTATTTATTTTATATTATTCATTACTTCTTCTATATTAATCAATTATCGTAGAATACCCCGAGGATGAGTCAAAGCCAGACTCGAAACTAGTCGGTTGAAGAAATAAAATTATAAGATAAGTCTGAAAAAGCCAAAGTCAACAGTTTTTATTCATCATATTTTAATAACAGACGAAAATTCATCGTTTATTTATTATAAAATAACAGTTACTATCATACATAAGTACACATTTTTGGACTTCAATACTTGTCAGTAAGAGTTTGTACTGACAACTTTTTATATTTATGAATGTTTGTTGAGATGTTCAATTGATTTTTCCTTGAAATGTTTTAAAATTTCCCTTCCACGTTCATGATCAAGACTAGATAGAGATGGAAATATTCAAATCATTTCTTTGCAACTACGTCTAATATCGTTACATTTACTCTGTCGATATCTCCATTCTTGTCAACTGAATGCATATCTTCTTCAACATGTAAGTTTTTAAAACGATGCAAAGTCAGAATTTTCATTTTATCAGTAAAAATCAGGTCGAAATTCACTTGATCTTCCAATAATGTAATCACTTTGTTATTTATTAAAAGTATCAGATACAAAAACATTCAATTTTTTCAACATGATACAACAGAATCACATTAGTTGCTCTAATCGAATAAAAACAATCGAAGTTTGTTCGCATAATCAATATTTTGTCAATCGTTAAAACAAACACAAATTTCATTGAGTCCTTCCAGGATTTTTGGTTTTGGGGAACATGTCATAGATGACACTAAACGAAATTCAAATAAAATTTAATTTAACATTAATTTAAGGAATAAAAACATGTCTTACATTTTTAATTGACGCTTTAAATGGAAAAATAATAAATTTAAAAAATTATTTATGCATTAATATTAAAAATGATGTAGAGTGAAAATGATGTAATGAAATATTTTAATCTTTTTTATGTAATAATAATAATAAAAATACGAATAGAATTCCAAATATTTGTTACGAATATTATGAGGGATGCTTCAATAATTTCGTAAGAAACGATTAGATTCTTTGAATCTTGGGCAAAAACTGGATTGAAAAGATTTTCTGTCAATGTTTTCTAAGATAATTTCATAATATTGAATTTGATTTCCATATTCTAATCTAATTAATCGAACTAATCGAACTAAAACCACGCGATAATATTGAATTTTGTCAAGTTTGTTTGTCTCACCGATTAAGAAACTTATGATTTTGGCTATCATTACTTTTCACATTGATACTAATTCTTCAGTTCATATTTTAAAATTGAAATATTCGAAAGAACTAGAAATAAATTAATTTTTTAAAGTTTCGATTTGTTGCAATTATGCAAAAAAAAATCCGCAGCTAATGAAGGAAAAGTCAAGCGCTTATCAAATTAATTTTAATTTTATGCACCTATTGCACATTCATTGATTTTAGTACAACTTGTTGCACTTATTGAATTAATTTATCATCGATTTCTATCGAATAATATTTAATAATTATTATTCTTTCGTGGAGTTAGAGAACATTTACATCAAAGTTTCCCCCTCTAAATTAACTAAGTTATCGTCATTCCAGCTTTTTTGTTTATTGAGTAAATATTGGCTTCGATATGAAGTTTCATTCACAAAGTTATGAAAAATTTTAAATTGAATGAAATGACTCATTCCATAATATTCATTAGCATTGATTTTATTTCATAAAAATAAACTTCAATTCTTTACAAAATTGATCAAACACTGTAAATGTGAAAAATCTTTTAACGTTGATAAAAGTAATAAAATACAAAACAAAAGTTTAATTTTTAACTTTTGAATGAGCCAACTAGTTGCAACTGAATGACAATGTCCGTCATTACTTTTCTTATTTAAAACATTTAGATAAAAGTCCTTGAAAGAATGTATCACCATGGAAACAAAATAATTGTTGTTTGTAATCAAAATTAAATGTTTGTAAGCATGAAAGCAAATTCCACGACACTCTTAGTTTGTTATCGTTCGTTATCGACTCACATCACCCGAAAACTGATAAGATAAAAGCATAACACAAACGAAATTCTCCCATTTGATTCATTTGGAGTGAAATTACAAATCAAAATGGATCCACTAGATGGAATTCCTGAAAAAATTCTCGGTTACAGTGTTAAAACAAGGTGGCAGATCAGTTTAAATTATTTGGTTCCATGCATCATCGAATTGATTGTTTATATAAGTTTGATGGTGGTTGATAGTGCCGTCGTCTATCAACACTTACTTGATAGACATTACTTGAATGCTTGGATCACCCTTGGAGTGATTTTTGTTCCACCTGTATTGACATTCTTCTGCGTTATGATCTCAGACCAATGGCCAATGGAGTCAGGATGTGGGAGTGAGAAATGGAAATTCTTTGGACGCCAGAATGTCAATCTTCTTCTATTTCCAATTTGCGCAGTATACAGGTGAGTCATGAAATTATTTCCAATATTTATTTATTGATTACACAAAATTATTTCTTTTTATAGATTTTCGCGAAAAGTTTTTTGGTGTATCGAATCGTTGTTTCATGAGAAAAACACTTATGAAAGACATCACGCATTAACGAAGGCAGCAGAACATTCACCATTTGAACTTTATCACTTTCTTCAATCATTTTTCCATTCAGCACCGCAAATTATTTTGCAAATTTTCATTTTGCTCCGAGATGATATGTTTAGAAATTATGACACAGGTGACATGATTGAATATCTTTGAAGTAATTAAGCTTACGATTTCATTCTATTCCTAGCCTTTATGCAATCTATCAGCGTGATCTTAGCTTTTATTAAAATGGCTATGACAGTTGAGTCATTTCAAAGATTTGAAAGTCAGAAGTGTGTTGGTAAAAATTATCCATGGCTGGCACCACATCAAGTTCATATTAGAAGCACCAGCTTCAGAAGAACTTTATCAGCACCAGGAGAAATTTCCAAAAACAATGCTGAAGATAATTCAAACCTGGAACGTAAAACGATGAATGTTAATGAGAATAATTTTGATAGTAGTAAAGAAACACCCACAAAGGAAATTGATTTCTTTAAAAACATAACAGATGATGACAAACTGAAGTCAATGAATGAACCAATTTATGATGAAATCGATGCCAGTAAGCATGCATCAACATCACAAGATATTGAACCTGATGATGATTTGATTGAGAATATCAATGAGATTAAAGAATATTTGCGGAAAACAAGCGCTGATCTTGAATTGGATTCACCAATACTTCGTCATACTGGAGAAAACTTTGATCGAGTTCCATCGTTGCCACCCCCACCACGACCTACAAGCACCAAGCATCCTTATTTAGAGAAACTTAATCGACTGTCAACATTTAAAGACATGCTGATATTCAATACTGAAAATTTTATTAAAGAAAAAGTTCCAAGACTGCCCGAAGGAATGTTCGAACATAATCAAAAAGCAAAGGAAATTAAAAAGGAAAATCAAACAATGTCACCAGCATCATTTACTGATGAAACTGACATTTTATTACCAACAAGAAGAAAAGTTGTCGATGGAATTGAAAGCGATGATTTGGTTGCAAAATTTATATCATTTCTTGGCTGGGTCATGTTCCTGATAATGCGAATAATTTCATTGTCAGTTTTCTCCGTATTCTATCTGGAAATCTGCGCTTGGCTTTGCTTCGCACATTATCTTTTAATGCTCCTTTGTCTTATCAATGAAACTCGATTCAAAGTTAAATGGCAACGTACAACTTTCTATTTCATTCTTGCTTACATCTTCATTTTCAATCTCATGGAGTTCAAAGTTAAATTTAAAAACGTTCGTCGATGGTATGTCGGTTACTTTCTTCTTGTTGGAGCTCAGAATATTGCAATGACTGTAGTTTGGTATAACTTTGCAGTCTTTTTAGATTCGTGGTGGTTTGAATTCATGTTCTTAGTGATTGTTCAAAGTGGAATCATGAGCTTAATGTGCATGATTCTCTATTTCTTCTACCTTAAACCCAAAGACAAAGTGTTCTTTGTTAATGAATAGAATAATCTTAGTTATGAATGTATTTCTGACAAGAGTTCATTGTTCAAAAATTCTGAAGATTTAAATAAATTTAAGTGAAAAATTTAAAGAGAAAATCAGATCCATGACCATAAAAATGTTCCATCTTATTTGTCGTAATAATTTTTAATGATGTTTATTAAGTTACAACGCTTAAGAGATGGAAAATAAAATACAAAATTTAAATAAGAAATTATTTTTAAACCTTTGCGCATTCTTTCTCAAGAGTGCAGTAAAAACAAATAAAATGTTGTGGTTGATAAATTTTGTTTGAATACGACACTGATTTCAGTGACTAGGAAACATTTTTCGATGATTGTCATAAATTATCATTACATTGTTGGATATTTGCTCCACATTCATAAAACATTTTGTAACGGAATGAAAGTGAACTTAAATACCCCCCATCGTCATGCGCGGAAATTTCAAAACCGGTGATTTTTCTTTTTCTCACGTATGAAAAGAAAATTTATTCTAGTACGTCAATGAGAATTTTCACGATGAAAAGTTTCGTGTCCCTTCACAGAAAGTTTCAGTCGTTGTACAATTTTGATTTTTCACTACGGGGAAACAATCTCGTGATTTTAAAAAGGGGTTTTTTTGGGATAATTAATAAGAAAGCCGGAAGGTAATAATTGCAAACGAGAAATCCTTAAAACGGACTGCTTTGGTATTGTACTCGTTTCGTGAATACTAAAGATTTTCGTATAAAATTTCGGGGTTATATAAAAATAAGTGCAGACAAAAGTTTTTCGATTTTGGTGTTTATCATTTCATTCAAATCTGCTTTCGACTATATGTGAAAGAAGCAAAATTTTCCACTAGACAATCTAGATATTCTAATCTCTTAATAATAATATAGCGAACCACAAGTAGTGCTTTAATTCTAGTTCATAATAAAGTTACAATAACATATAGGAAAATCACTTTTTTTTTCAAAAATAATCCAAAAGTGGAAAAAGTGTGTGAGGAAAAAATAGTAAAAAATTTTCTTTGATTCTGCGCGCGCCGTCAACGAAGTGTAAGCAGAAAAGAAAATATAATAAAGTTTCATTTTTTATGAATGTATTTTTCGAGAATAAAATAAAATATTTTTCAATTAACTCGTGTAATAAATAGTTTTACGTGTTTGTCAAAGTCTGAGACGAAAAAGTTTGATGATAAGTATCGCATCAAAACAAGAATTCTTTGAAAGTTTTCCACGACGTGCAATAAACGAAAAGGAAATTTTGTTCTTGTGCAAATATCTTTACTTTTTTTTTGTGTACATCACTCGGTGTTACGGTAGATAGAAAATATATTAAAGAAGAAAAAAATAGTGCGCTAAATATAAACTCGCACACAACTTGTTTCTCGCTACTAAACAAAATGACGAAGTGCTTCTAAGAAGTCAAACTTTCTCATAACATAACATAGACAGACACAAATAATAAATAACTGAATAAAAAGAATACAACGAACTTGATACACAAATCGTGATAAGTTACCAGGAATAAAAAGAAAAAAAAATCAAATAAAACGTGGAATTAGACAATGCCGACCACAACAATGGCATTATCGAGTCCTTTGAACCCATCAACGTTGACAGTCACTTCACAATCGAGTACACTTAAAGATGAAACGGTAGCAATTTCACCTCAATTAACTGTACAACATGATTTAACCACATCCGAAACGGCTCAATTATCTTCTCCAAATGCTGACGATGTTGAAGATATCAAAGCAAATGTAAATGGAAATAACGTGAGAAATGGAGGCGCTTTAACTTTATTGACAGCAGAACATGGCTCACCAAAAATGTCGCTTCATTCACCAATCACAATAGGAACAGCATCTCTTACAACAGACATTGATGTTGACCTCAATATGAAGAGTAACGATATAAGCTGCTTAAATGTTGCTACATCGCCATCACCAACTGGTGCAAATAGTACCAACCACTTCTTGAACGGTTCTAATGGACATTTAATGATGTCGCAAAGTGGTGGTGGTGGCGGCGCAACTTTAAATTTCCAAGCAGCAAATTCGCCAGAAAGTCCCTGGTCGATTGGAGAAGTGGAAAATTCAGGATTTGTAAATTTTCCAACAACCAATAATGGACAAATGCATAAGCGACCCATTATGTCACAGCAGCCGCATCATGGCTTGTCGTCAAACAGCAGCAATATAGGAAGGAATAATGCATCACATCAGCAGTTCATTCATTACAATAAGAACAATGGCAATAACAGCAATAATTATTCAGCTCCTTGGTCGAATTCCGGTTCAAGCTCACCATGGCAGCAACAACAACAGCAGCAGCAGCACCTACAACAAATGCAACATCAACAACAACAACAACAACTTCTTCACCAATCTTCATCTCAAGCATCTGTGAACAACTGGAATCGTGGTCGGTCTGTACCCAACTTAAATCCATTATCACCACATGTACCACATCACCGAAAACACCAAACACCCACGCAATATTCAATGCCACCAAGTGCTTCCAGTTCCCAAGGATTATCGCCAAATCCCAACTCACCATCGAAGTATCGTCGAAGCACTTCATATCCCGGTAAAAATCAGAACAACATGCATGGATTTCAAATGGACGCAGTTGGAGGGATTATTGAAGATCAATCTTACATGTCTTACCAGGTCAGTTCAATATATCTAAGTCAATCAAACTTTTCTATTATTGAATCTCCTTTCAACTTCAACATGAATCCGAAGTGAATGTTTGCTTGATGTAAATCATGAGTAATTTTTTTCTTTCTTTCTTCTTTTCATGATCGCAAATGGAAACAAAGCTTATTCACCTATTTATGTGATGAAAGCACATGAGTTTCCCTAATTGAATTCTCTCATTCACGCCTCCTTCTACCACGAGCTTTAAGCGATTTTTTCCGTCTTTATTCGTTCTTTTGGCATAATGACCGATTTATTTTTATAGAATATTTTTTTCTTCTCCATTTTTCTTTAACTTTTCTTTTCCTTTTCGTGACGTAAGGGAAGAAATTGTATGCTTAAACACAAAAGGAGGATAATGAAAATCGATTTTCTTTTTCACCATCACAGCACTTATCAAGCACATATATAACAAATACCAAGTTTTCTTCTTCTTTTCCTTTCTTTTGCTATGGAAAATAAAAAGAAACGACAATGAGAACGAATAAGAGTTTAAGATACGTTTGAGTCTATGCATCATCGGTCTCTAATTCTCTCATGTACAAATTTTGTGACAGAAAGAAAGTCGGCGATAGTTCCACTTAATTGGATGAATCAAGCAAAGAAGCAGACAGAAGAGAAAAGTAAACAGAAGCCAATTCATCAAGCAACGAATTAACTTCTGTGATTTTCACTCTTGTTCACCACATCGTTTTCATTCCATTTTCTTCTCCTTTTTCCCAACATGGTTTCTCCTGAACGCTGTTTTATCATTCTACGTCCGTCGTTTTAATTTATCGTCTTCGAAATTTTCTCTTCGACCTTATCAGTTTGACTACTAAATGCTTTCAAATTAGATAATTCTATGTCGTACAAGGATTTTATCGTTCAGATATAAAGAAATTTATCGTCTTTTAAATAAGAAGTATTGATCTAGTGAATTAAAAATTTTTTTGACTCCTATGATATTTTCTTTATTTATTTTGGGATTCTTTCACCGACTTGACTTCTTAAGTGTCTTTACAATTGCTTAAGAAATATCCTAAAAAATATCCTCGAACTGAGTTGAATAAAAGAAATCTTGATATGTAAATCAATTGATTTTTCTTTGACAATTGACCAGAATCATGAACAACATAAATTAAATTTAGGAAACGATTCTTTTGTTGTCACATCGATTTTTCCGCAATCACTTTCATTATTAATGGTCTCATTATTTCAATTTATTGATAATGCTGGCAAGCACTAAATTGGTTAGGTTTTCATTATAAAGACATAAACTCCACATTCTGTGTAATGACATTTAAATTTTCTATTTCATTGCTTGTTTTTCTTTCTATGTCACTCTCTCAATTCCCTTTTTATGTTCTTTTCGTTTGATTCACAAAAAATATGGGAAAATCGATTATTCGTTTGTTTTCGTTGTAAATATGCAGTCGAGCTGTTTGCTGCACTAAAACTTCTCGTTTTTTGATTCATAATGAAAGCTAGTTATTTGAAACTGCAGAAATTGCATTCATATCCTCCCCCGCTTCATTACTTAATCGCTTTTTTATTTGAAATTCACAAGACTTTAATTTATAATTACAAGCTTTGTCTTTGAAATGAAGAAAATTTCATAATTTTTGGCACAATTCCAAGATAGAAATAAAACTGCAAGACTTAAAAAAGACTGAAAGTGTCTGGGACCAGAATTGGCAAAATAATCAATGAATGAAAATTTTCCGCAACCTCCGTTTTGTTTGCGTTTAATTTATTAACTTTTACCGAATGATTCATTTGACACAAATTGCTTAGATACCCAGATTTACTTCAAGCTAAAATATCTACTAGAAATTTTCATAATAATTGCGAAAACCGGCAATATTTTCAAACTTTTGACATCAAGCAAACTTGACTTTGGCGTTTATTTTACAAGCTGTAGCTGAACATAATACGAAGAATATATGAATTAACTTTTCCACCGTTTCACAACATGACTTCCGTAATAAAAAGTCGTTAAAAATTCATTTTCCTTCAAACACAATGGAGAGGATCCTTTGAAATGCCATAATAAAAGATTTCTAAACAAGAGCAAAAAGCTATCGATTTCATGCAGTGATTTTAAGTTCAGTGCGTCCATTTTGACCCTTTTGGATAACTTATTTCATGACTTCCTTTTTTCTCCTCTCTCTGTGTTTCAATTTATTTTCAAACTCGCCTTAAGTTCTAAGCTGCTGCTTTTATCAGCTAAAATAAAGAGAAAGAGGGTTCGTTATGGTCGAGATTCCGCAGGTGATTTAAAATGTTTGCAATGCGAGCGAAGCTTTTACATTACCTGAGCTACGTGATGATTGTTGGGAATATGGAGCGAGAAATTACAAAAGATTGTTATGTTTTCTATATCAGCAAGAAAGGGAAATATGAGGTCGAATATATAAAAATGTGTCTCGAGAACCATTTTTCCCCCATTTTCTCGTTCCCAATGAATGCCAGCAGTATGCAAATTTAATTATTCATTAATTCAATTTATGTGTTTCACCTCTCTACAAAGTATTTCTTTACAAAAATCAGGTTGGGCTAATACATTTTTTAGCCTTTATAGACTTGATAAACTTCATTATTTCTTGTCAGCCTTTTCAAAATTATACCAAGCTAGAATTATTTTCTAACATAAACCTCAACCTTAATTTCTTGCGTTTATATCCTCAGACACACAACAACACATGAGTTAGAGTTCTTCTTTCTTCTGAGAGGTTCATTAAAAATTCATGGGTAAACACCGATCCAATGGTATCAGAAAAGTGCTTGAAATAAAATTAAAGGTGAAAGTTTGTAAGCTTATACAACGTAAGGCATAATTGTGACTTATTTCACACTTTTTGGCACGATACATGGCAAAATGTCAAAAGATTTTCCTCTCTGATCAAGAACAAAAAGGATCACAAAATAATTTTGACTTTAATGTCAGTTAAAATAGTGAGAAGATAAAAAATAAATTATAAGCTAGACAGTTTGAATGAAATACAAAACATTGCGACTTCTCTTTTAATAAAATATTTCGGATTAACTTTTTTTTCCTTTTGTTTTTTGTGGTGAATTTCCCAAGGATACTTAAAGCTTCTTATGAAACTGTTAAGCTTTTAAAATTTTAAAAGGTCCTAAAGCTTATGTATTCTTACATTGAAACATGTTTTTCCATTTAACAAACTTTTTTCTTCAACATTTCATTACAGGATCGCAATATGGATATGCGGTCGCTCGAGCACTGCTTAAACGACATCACAAATACAGGCGGAGTTCAATCGGATTTAAAAGGTGAGTTCATTGTTGGTTTTATTTTAATCGCATTTGTCACGACGATAAGAATCGACTAAAAAGTGAATGAAATATTTTCGACTTTCAAAGTTTTTTAAGCATTAAAACTTTTTTTCATTCATAAAGCTTTTCTGGTCATCATCAGTGATAAGATGATGGATTTCTTTATCTTCTTATTTGAAAGACTTAATAGTCTTTAGTTCCGCGTAACACGATTGGTAACAACACGTCAACACATCGTTTGCATCTGGGTCATTTGTTAACGAATGAAGATGGCGAAAAGATCAATCTATCAGATTTACAAGCTGGTGGTTCTGTTTCACATTCACTTACTATTATTTTCTCCTTGGCATACATATGTACATGGAGAATAATCAATCAACAACGATGATGTTGATTGTAAGCTTGAACTTTACGTAGAAGAAAATTCTATGCTTACAGTCTTTACGAGTCTGGCGTAAAGCATGAAGAATGCGTCATAATTGAATTCATTAATCAAATGGATTTTTCTCATTTTCCTCATTTTTCTTTTCCACGGACGTTGGAAAATGCTCAACGATTGAAACAGGCAGATAATCATTTCCTCGTTCATTTATGAAAATGTAGTGAAGGGTTTTGAAGACCCACATCTTTCAAAAAGCGAAGGAAATGAAATTTGCAAGATTTACAAATTCATTATAAATAATTGTGTTAATGTCCAAAAGCTTCAAGTCTTTAATTTTATCTTTTCTTATAATTCACCGAACCGTTTATATCCATAAAATATCCTGATACTTAATTCATAAATTCATTTCGTAAGCACAACGCAACGAACAGAGGGAAGCTTGCAGCATTTTACCAACATCACAATTATGTTCAGTTTTCTATTAGATTCCATTATCAATTTATATCATAAGTGTAAGAGCGTCTAAATAACAATAACAAAAAATTATTATTCTGTACGAAACACCGTCAAAGGTTTACTTTGTTTCGATATTATGAGGGAAAGATATTAAACGACTATCTTAATACTCTCAATAACTTTATCTTATTTATAACTTGGATGAATATTGCTTCAATTACGATGTGAGCATACGAGGAAGTATGAAATTTCAATGTTCTTTTACTATCGCAACAAAGTTTCATTTTCATTTTATTTAAACCAGAAAACAAAACAGAAAATTGAAACTAGAGGCGCAAAGCCTTCTCTCAACTTGAAAATGATTATGAATTTGTTTATAATAAAAGATTACGACAAAAGACATTTGATAATAAAATAAAAACGCCCACGCATAGCAATCTATATCTCCAATAGACTTTTATAAAGATTTCTCTTTCCTTTTGAATACGAAAATTGTACATTGATTTTCATTAAATGATAAAGAGACTTCGTTTTTTTCTGAAGGAAATCTGCGTCTTTCTTTATATCGAAGATTTTCATCGTAATATAAATTTTTCTCTCTTTCTTATTTCTTTGCCTCTTTCTCGATATTATCTGTTTGGTAAAAGCTATTCATAAATAAGTTTGATCATTATAGAAAAGCATATCGGATGGATGTGCGCTATCATAAATAAGAAAACGCTTTGTGTATTGAGCAAAACATTTTTAACCGTTAATGACTTAATGATCTCATAGATAGAAGAAAATTTCTTTGACTTTTCTTCTTATACTCTCAAGAGAGAATTAAACTTTCCATTAATCGAAGCTTTTGAATTAATATCCTGTTCAACATGAAAAGCATTAAGTATTTTATGGAAAAAAGCTTCACTTTGTATTCACATCCGTTCACTTCCGTCTCAGATTGAAGGATTAACCATAAACGTAACCGCTTGAATGTTAATCATCAAAACGCTATTATTTGTGCGCTAATGTTTACTTTTGATGGTTTTATGTATGTTTGGCTTGAAGGGTTATCGATTTTTAAATAAATCAAGAGAAGTTTTCCAACGGTTCACCAACATATTTATTAATTATAATGGATGACGTTTGGGTGTTGAATAAAGCGATGTTATTCAGCCGATAAAATAGTCGAATATTGATCAATAAAAGCAGACCATGATAAACAAGCAGCGTTTGTCGTGATTCTAAAATTATGTAAATGAATAATTTGATGAGAAGCCTTTGTCAGTAAACATTTTATGATTACCAATTGCTTCTTAATCAGACACTGAAACTAATTGCATATTTCCAGTTCTAATCACACGATTTTAGTCGCTGTCCTGGTTTTTAAATATTGATTGTACATCATTCTCAAAATTAATTCAACTTATAGACTTTTATAGTTCACAACGATGGTTTTTTATTACGTTGCTCTCAACAGATGTGCATCATTTCGCTACCTGTGTCCTTCCCTTATAAATAGAAAATTTTAATAAAACATTTACGTGCTGGAGTAGTTTTATACATGTGATGATTGTATCGTAATTTCCAACAGTTTTCAATTGAATTTTTATGAATTCTTCACTTTTTATAGGAGTTTAAAACCTCAAATGTCAAATTAGTGAAAAACGACTTTAAGTTTTTCTCACTAAACTGTTATTCAAGTTGCTTCCAATTTTCATAAATGAAAGTAATAAATTTTTCAAAAGAATTCCAAAGTTTCCTCAAAAATTAGGAAAAGTTCTTAATTGCAAACTCGAATCTCTCTAAAACTTCCAAAGTAGAGTCAAGTTGAGTAGTGGCCATATATCAACGGTTAATTAAAATAGATGAAGGTAAATAAGGAACTTTAGATAAAGTTTATAGAAAACCTAAATTAAACTTTATTAATTTATGATCACCTCAATTCATTACTTCATTTCATAAAGTAAGAATACATAAAAATGTTGATATAATAATTCTAACTTAACTTTAAATTAAAAATAATTCTTTCACTTTCAAGCATAAACTTCATCATTTAAAATTGTCTCGTTCTGAACAGTTGTCCTTTAATTGAAAATTAAATATTTCATCAAGTAAACTTGTCAGAAACAATTCCAATGTTGGAATTTCAAGTCAACCCTAAAAAATTATTAACTTTTCCGATACGTTTTTCTAAAGCTTATTTCATGCTTCAGAACGTCCATTTTTTCTTTCACGGAATATTATTTTGTTTCAAGATATTTATATAGATAACTCAATACTCGATTCATATCTTGTACCTTGAACATAGCTCAATTAATTGAAGACAAGCTCTAATTGTGTCGTAAGAATTATTGTACTTAATTTTTATATTTTGTTTCTAAAAATAAATTAAGAAGATAAAAATTTCAAACCCCACGGAAAATACGTGAATAGAAAATAATTGAAGACAAATTTCATAACAAGCTACCAAATGGAGTTGTTAAAAATCGTACAGTATTATTTATCATGAACAAATTAAAAAGAAACGGAGAGGAAAAAGATGAAAGTAAACATGGAAACAAGAATTTCGGAATGATTCTTTTAAAAGTTAATTCTTTACAATTAATTTAATCAATAAGGAGAACTTGACATAAAACGTTTTCTAGATTTGTAACAAAATATTCAAAACTATGTGTAAGAGAACAAGAGAATTTTGTAGATTTTTGAAAATATTTTATAAAGAAATTAATTGCATTCCTTTTGATTCAAGCATTTAGCTGAAGTGTTTATTTGTTGCACTTAATTCCATTCATATTTATGTGAATTCACTTCATAATGAAGACTTTCAGAGCACCACAATTCAAATTCCAAGTTCTCATCATTTCAATTGTACTTGTCGATGCCAATAAACTACTATCAATGGTTTCATAACGTTATGATAAATGTGCTACAACATCTTGAATTCCTCGCGCTTTATTATAACCATCTGACTCCATTTGACACGAATGTAATGTAAATGTTAGGAGCCATTTCTCCTGCCGTTCTTGGTGATTTCTTATGTTTTTCACTATACTTAAAAGTCTACATTTGCATACATATTGCTTTGCATATAGCCTACAAGGAATTTCCTTCTCACATTTCTGGAATTTTATGTTCTTTTTTTGTTTTTCTTCGTACATAATTTTTCGCTTTATCATTGAAGGTTGTCATTGTTACGATACAAGTTCAAGGAAATGAAAAGGAGAGACATATTGAGTTTGGGTTTGAAAGACATAACGATAATGTCTTTACAAAGTCAGCACAAAGCAATATATGCGAATTGGCAACATTAGAATATGCTCAATGTGCTGAGCTTTGATGTGCCATATTTGAACTCTTCTTGTTTTTCGTATTCTCCTTCAACCTTTTGAGAATTATATCAAGATTATTTCAATATTGATGACACCAACCTGTCGACTTGTAATGAATATAAGGAAATAAATTTTCTTCAAGATTCTGTTTCTCAATGTCATGTCAATAAGTAGATCAGCGTAGAAAAAAACTTGCAATTGGCATGAGAATTTCATCACACAAAAGTAGCAGCAATGTCTATTTTTTGATTGACGGCTGACTTTTTATCTTATCGAATTGAATTTAATCTACTTTATAAAATTTTGGATTTGATGATAGTCCATCAGTTTGATATCAACTTTATTAAAAATGCAATGAACTGAACATTTAAGCTTGGATTTTATTCTCCACAAATCGTAACAAAAAATATAAAACGACTCTAAGTGCAGCGTTTAACTTTTAATGCTTTTCAGATTAGTACATTCAACCAATAAACTTCTGATTGAAACAATTGTAAATCAGGTTAGAAAGTGTTTCTCTATTCAGATAAAATTCATAAACAAGATTTGGATCTAAAACAAGATAAAATTTCAACCGAAGGCGAGCTAAAATTGTTCAATTTAATTAGAGATATTTTTCCATTATCATGAAAATTAATTTTACGAGATTGTATGAATTTTTTATATCAACAATGAATCGCTTTTATCTTTTTAATCTACTTTAGTCAAGAACCTAAATTACCATGCCAACTTCAACATTTCAAATGAAAGCTCAAAACGGTAATTGTGAATGATAAAAACAACAAAAATCATCTGTTTGGAATATTGTTTTGCTAAACAGGTAAAAGTATAATCAACGCTCAATTATTATCTTAGTTTTTAATTAAAATAATGTTCAAGATAGTCTCAGCAAAATATCCGTCTACACACAACTATAACAATCCTAACATTAAAAACATCACCTTTACGTTGAAAAGAGCGTAAAATTTCTTTTCATTACCATTTTTATGTAAAGCGGAAGAAAAAAACTTCAAATTTTATCACTGGAAATTTTTTCTCCATAAAAGAATAGCAAAAAAATAAATATCCGACTAGGAAAGCTTGTAAAGTTCTGTATTGTTTGATTCACCCACATAATGTTTTATTCTCTCTTTCATGTTTACCCGGGGGCTGAAAATTGCACCACTGAAGGTGCTTCACTCGTCTTTTTTTCTCTTTCTACGTACGCTTTTGAATATAAAGTTTCCTTTCTATCATGAGAATGTTGAAAAGATGGAAAAAGTTTCTTGTTATTATGTGTTCATATCAGAGCAAGGTGTGGATGTTCTTTCGCCTGCAACTTTTATTCTGAAAATCTAATGTGAGCCTCTAAATATTCTAATTCCAAGCCCTGTTACAGACATAAATAGACATATTTTGTACTTATGCACATATAATTACAATAAACAACTCAAACGGATCAAGTTCATGAAAAATATATTCATTTCACCTCCCCGAAAATCACCCTCAAAGCCAAGAAAGTCTGCCTGTTCAAATGTGTGGTTGAAAACATAAAATTATACATTCACAATCAACGGATAAAGTTCTTTCAAAGATATGAAAGTACCTTTACAACAACCTAGTGAAATTAATCTGTAATTTGCCCCCTGCCCTCTTCCTTCTAGGATTCTCTGTGGTTTAGTTGCAAAGCTCGTTAAAATGATGGAACGAGGGTTTTCTTCCATTATTCGATGACTTGCAACAAACTCGTCTCGGTTCGATTGATGAAATTCCTTTTAGGACGTAAGCTTAGCTCTATTTAGAGAATGAAATCGATCGAGTACAGAATAAAAAGAGAAAAGAGAAGAAAAAAAACGACCAGACCCTAAAATAAACATTTCACTCAACCTTGACTGTGCATGAGTAGAGAGAAATTCACATCGAAAGAAATAGCAAAGCAAGCGTATCTACATTTGTGAAGTTGTTAAAAATTCTTTTGTAATCGTTTTGGTATCATAAAAATTCATACGTTTACGTTAAACCTTTAGGAAGGTTAACCAAGAGAAATGACTAAATAATGACAACAAAATCCAAAAAAAGTGTTGTTATGAAAGCTTTTTACATGTGATAAAGAAATGACGTCATTCGTTATTAAATTTACGGATTTTTGAAACTTCTAGTTATCCAATGAATCAAATTGTTCAAGTTTTTGACATTTCAATGCATACTTCTGTTATTTATGTAGCTTTTATGTGTAGCTAAGTATTAAGACTTCAAATTGTGCATATTTGCTTCGCTTCTACTTTTGTTTCTACAAAAGCCAAAAGCGAAGAGTTGGCGAAGAGAAAAAATAATGATCTGGTCTCGTGTACATACGTGAATACGTATGCAGTTTTGCAAATAATGCAAACAGAAAATACAAATGTCGAGATCTGCAAAATGAAAATTTTCACGGTTACAATATATGTGCAGTCGTTTCATTTTCTTCTCACTCTTATTTATTTTTTTGTTTCTATTTATATCCATTTCAATTTTATTGTTCGTCTGTGATAAGTACAATTAAGTTGTGACACTCGTATCTGCTTGTTGTGACGCAACGACTGTGAAACAACAAACAATGATGTGGTTGAATTGCTTGCAACACTGAAATCAACGTTGAATTGTGTTAGGCACGTGACTCAATCTGATAAGTAAGTCATGTGCATTAGCGGAAGATGACGATGTTTTCATCAATTAGCATGTGTCAAAATGTACGAAAGAAGCGTGACATTCCTAAAAGAATTTTTATCTTGTATCTGGGACAAAGTTAATTATCATAGAACTTAGAATTGTATTGCTTAACAGTAAATGAAAGTTCGTGTTCATTTCATTGACTTACCTATCAGCTTATCCATTGTTTTGTCAAAGTAAAAAGTAAAACTTTATCGTAAAACATTCAATCTGATGTTTTCCCGTAAAATTCCGTCACAGCGCATGACTGAGCTTCACATTTCGTCACTGTGTGCAGTCTCACACATTGCTATGATAAAGAAAATTCTCATCGTTCACAGCATTTCCCACCTACACACACTTGAATCATCAGATTTCAGAATGAATATTTTCAGTTAGACGTGGCTCAGTTGTATGAATGTGTATGTAGGTAAAGCATTTTCTAGTTCACCGAAAAAAAATATCACTTTATGTGTTTTGCTTTTTATATAAAACATTGTAAACACTTTCGTGGTCGATGTATTTTACAACTGATATCACGAGCGAGTTCAGTATCGTTGGTATCGTGCGAGACGTTAAAAGCATTTTCTTGCATCTCTAGCTCCCGGATAGCAAATACTGAAAATCTGTTTGTTTTTCTTATCAGCCTTGTTCGCGAGAAGAAAGAGTTGAAAATTTTATTATTCGTTTAGAGGAAGTTTTTCTCGTTTATATTAAAAAGTTTTAAAATCTAAATTCTTTAGAGGGTTAAAATTTCTCTCTTCGATATCTAATAAAGAAAAAAGTTTCTTAACTTGTATCGCGTCGCGAACATTATCAGTTTGAACAAAAAACAAAAGTCGTAAAAGAAATTTTTAAGTGACGTCAAAGAAATAAAAAGGGGAGAATTAAGTTGCTGAGGAAGAAGGAAAGTGTCATAAAAGACTTGACAAAAGTCCACTGCAAAACGTGAATGTGTAACATGAAAAAATAATTGAAAAATCTATAAAAGTGAAGTATTTTTTAAAGCGAGAATCTCACACAAGTCGCTTTGTGAAAATACATAAAAGATACTTTAGTGGAAAATATTCTTGAATCGGAAACTGACGAGTGGATTAGAGAAAAATTTATCTGCGAAGAAAAAGGGTAAAATATGAAGAAAATAAAGGAACAAATGTATTTGAAGCTGCACTTGAAGACTGAATAGTATTCATAACAATAAAAAATGATCTTCTCATTTTTTCCACTCCCGTGAATTCCAATGTCCGTACAGAAAAAATATCATGCTTTATTTTTTAAATTGGGGATGAAAAATGGGATAAACACTGAAGAGGTATTCGACCAGAAAGCGAGAAAAATTATTGCTAGCATGCTTCAATGAGATATAAAGAGTTGAAAAGTATTTTGAAATGAATTTTCATTTAATTTTTCATCAGCTTCATCATGAGATTTTTTTCTGACTTTATACGTACCTACACAGATTTATTTATTTATAAAGCGTTGCATAATTTTCTCCTAAGCTGATTGATTTTCGAGATAAAATCATTGAAAAGAAAAATAAAAAAAAACCATTAACGATTCAAGTAACGTCGATTCTCGCTTCAAGGCATTTATTTTGAGTTTAGAACACTCCTGACTTCATTACTTAAACATAAAATGCCTCTTTGATTGTTTTTCTTTCGACTTCGAAGCTCGGGTAACGATCAAAAATAGAAAAGAAAAGCGTCTTCCAAACTCAGCATAATTTAGCCAAATTTATATGTTCTTTAAATCTTATTGTACATATCTACATCGCCAAACGCAAAATAAAAAAAGCAATCACAATGTAAATGATACTTCAGAGTTTCTTTTTGTTCTAAGTCGTATAGCAGCAGCAGTAGCACAACAATAGACAAAGCGTTTCGTTTTTCAATTCATCTAAATGTGAATTCTGCTTTTCTTCTCGTGTTTTTTTTTTGTCTATTTGAAGAATAAAAATACATGGCAAGGCAAAAGATACGAAATGAATCGCCAAAGTACATCTTTGCAGTCTCATATATATTTTATTCTCTAAATCTCTGCAGTAGCTTTATGGAAACTCACTGAATAGAATATAAAAATAAAATGTGAGTTTAGGTTTCATGTCTCTCATCTCTGTTATTTGCCAACCTTCTCTTCTCCTTCCATTCTCTTCCATTTTATCAACCCGTCACCATTACAAATCACCTGTTTGTTTGTTTGTTTCAACGCTTTGAACTGACTGTGTTTGAAAAGGGCGCTGAAAGAAAGTCTAGAGATCTAAGTCACTGTCCCATCGTATTGTGAAAAATCACGAAAATAAGATAAAATAAAAATGCAGAAAAAATGAAAAGTTTATTTAAACGAAATTTTCAACGCACATTTCAATTTGTTGTTGGGTTCCCAGGAGATACGAGAATGATGATAAAGCATTTGACTTGACTATGCCTTTGAAGATGAATGTTTCGAACAGCGTCATAATTGATAATGCAAACAATTTTTTAACAAAATATTATAAAAGATGTGGAAAAAAACCAAGCACAATCTTGTTAAACAAAGCAAAATAAAAAGAAAAGAACGAAAAGTTTGTATTCAAGTGAAACTTTGCATCATCTCGATGAGTGTAGTGAAGCTTCAGATTTTTTTTCCTTTTTCCTTCCCCTTTATTCCTTTGAGATCTTTTCGATGACGACTTCTCGGCAAAAGAATCCATTTATTTAAAGCCCTCAACAAAAACAATATGAATTGATATAATAAAACAAAAGGAAAAAACAACGCAAAAGCGTCGTAAAACTTGAATTTATCTGCCATCAAAGTTTCGTTTTATTACCAAAACTTCATCAAAAAATGACTTCGAAGAACTTTTTTTCTGATATTTAAAGTGATTTAAATGCTTGTCAGAAAATTATTTAACTTCACATCTTAATCTATAAATGGAAAATGTAGGGAAAGAGAGGAAAATTAGTAAAGCAAACACGAACTGCAGTTTCCATTCTATGAACTGACCATGTTAACAGTAAAGACCAACTATTAGGTGTTAATTAAATTCGAATGCTTTCTGCTCTACTTAAGAGTTCACTGCTATAAAACCAAACGATTCCCTTAAACGAATAATTTTGCTCTGCAATGGAACTTTTCTAAACTAATGACGAAAAGAAGCGACCAAGAATAATTTCATTAATTCTACAATAAATAAATTATGTCGTTCGAGTGTCCACAACATTACATTATCGAGCTTATTAGTTTATTGACATTTCACTGTAACAAGAAAGCTCGCAAAGCTCAGAACGACTTACTCTCTTTCATTCACTGAATTCAATTGAAACGCGAATAATACTTCAAGGGTGACAAAAGGGAAAGCAAAAGCGAGATAAAATCGGAGAGCAGACAAACCAACAATAACAACAAAATGCATTCTAAAGTGCATCGCGATAATAAAATCGTGAAAAGAAGCAAAGTCTTTATAAATATCAAGTGTAGCACGGCAACCTTTAGTGGTAATTCTCTCCACTTATTCATTGTAGATTGCGAATCTTTTATGTTCATTTCTCTTGATTTTCTACTTGCTTGTGACGAAAATGAAAACCAAAATATCAAAGACTTTATCCACGGTGCAGTTTCAAACGTGTTGTTATCTCTTAAACCATTTTATGAAAAGTTCTGTTCCTTTGAAAACACATCCCCGAGCGGCACACACTCGCCATGCCGGAGGCATACGTTTGCACTACGACGATTTTTAGTTGGCACTTCCTTTGGCTTTTCCTTCAGAAATCAGCGAAAATAACCGAGGTATCAATTTACCACTAACAGTTGACGCTACGGTGCTTCCCCACATGCCATTAACTCTAAATAAGGCTACCATAAGGCAGCTTAAGAAATTCTTCACTAGTCCAACACATAACTAACTTAAGGTGATAGAATTAGGCGATAGCCAGTAGTTTTTAGCCAAATGTCTTTCATATGGCGGATTCTAAAGGAAAGCCTTCCCATTAAATGGAGACGATACTCGTATGCCAGATTTGTGAGAGACATCGCCTTTTGTGCCGCTCGGGATCTGACGGGTTTATTATGAAAAGGTTTTAATAAAGAACATCTTGTAATTTCAACTATCATTAAACTAAATTTCTTCCTTGTTCATGGCAATTGTTTAAAAATTCTTACCATATAATCTCAAGTTCGACTTTCAAACCACCCAACTTTCATAAGCCTTCTCCATAACTTATGTGGAAAGGATAAGAACAGAAGAGAAAGAAAAAGCCTTCGGCAAAGTCACGTAAAGTTTTTCCTGCTGTAGTTATACAAAACCCCTAGAAGGACTGAAAGCTAGAAAAACTGCAGACGAAGAAGAAGACTTGTTAGATAATATTAAATTGATGCTTAATGTATGTTTGCTACCACTCTTCAGTCATAATTCGCTTATTCGATAATAATTTATATGTTTGCTGTCTACTCGTTGTGGTTTTTCTTTCTTCGTCATCGTCATAGTAGGGCGAAAAATCGTAAAGATAGGAGGATAATAGGGAAAACGAGTAGAGTCGAAGAAGGATGAGACTTGTAAATCTTCACACATTTTCTTTTTGCTATGCTTTCGTTCAAATGCCATATATTCTTTTGAACCACATAAATCAAGCCACATACACGCATTATTCACCATTTACGTTATGAAAGTTGACAACATTGCATTTTGATAGATGATCTTTGACTCACAGATTTCTTCTTAATATTTATTTCTTTTTTGTAATTTTCCGATGTAAAAACTGTTCTTCGTTCTCTCCTCAACAATCATTTTTTTTCTAATTTGACGTAAATAGACTGAAAAATATTCAGAAGGAAGAAGAAACATTCCATTGTGTCCTCCCTCTTAAGGTAGAAAGAAAAATTCCGATGAATAACTTGACTGTCACTTCACTTACATATCTTCATATGGAATTGTAATAATCGCGACAAAAGAAAAAGAAAACTCAGAAGTCAGCGAAGTTAAAGCTTCATTCGTTCAACTTTAATATTTTAGAAATCCATCTTGTCACACGAGCTTCTTTCTTTCTGAGTAACGATCGACACAAAAAAAATATTCCAACTATTTGAGCCAATAAATTTTCCACAATACTGATTTAAGTTAATATGCAAAAACATGATTTATCGTTTTGCCTCGTGTTTCTTCTTTCTTGCTTTAAATGAAAATTTCATGTTTTCTTGTTGCGGTAACCTTACGGCGTTTGGAAGTCGAAGCAACATACATTATTTCCATATTAGAGTAGAAGCAAGGCATACGCACTACATAAATGTAGCCATATAAAAGTAAAATTAGGCAATTCTTTCGTTTTGCATCGATTTTTTTGCTTCGCTCTGTTGCCGCTTATTTACGACGTAAACCTTTTTCCTCCTGTGCTTCAACCCACCTCAACTTTTCGCTACGTCGGCAAATTTTGGTAGAGAAAAGGAAAGAAGAGAAATCGGGTTGGCAAGTCAAGGCACAAGAGAATATGTTTAACATTCAGTTTTCCTCAGATTTTCTATTTTATCACAGCCGATAGCTTCAACATAATGTCTAATAACATTTACATACGAAAGCATAAACCACATGAATAAATAAACGGATGTTTAATATTAACTTTAATATGCTGTGTGTAAAATTTCATGAAACGCAGTTAAAAAAAATGTTCTAGTTACGTGAATTGTGCTATATTGAGTTGAGTCAAGTTGAAATTGTTGAGCAAATATGCGAGTTGGGATAGCGAAGAAGAAAAGCGTTCGGAAATAAAAGAAGAAATTTAATCATCTGAAAACTGATTAAGCAAACACATTGAAACATGCACTTTTTCATGTGAAAGGGAAGAAGCGATGAGAAAGATAAATTTCCATTCTGATTTCTTTCACATATATTTTGTTGTACATGCTCATGTTGGAATTTAGTTCGCAAGTTTCCTGAAATTCTTTTTCATAATTTTTCAAATGTTTCTTCCTTACTCATGTTAACGAGAAATTGCAATTTATGCATCGCTGCAACGAAGAAAAGTATTTTCCATCGAATTCCTTTCCCGTTTTGCTTTTTCTTAATAATATTTAACATTTAACTATTTGGATAACTTTTACTGTTGTTACATTTTTGAGGGAAGAAAGAAAATTAATTATAAGTAAAATTTTCCTACTCTAACAAATTCCAGTAAAATTCTACAGCAATTTTGCAATCCCATCACAAAGACTTAACATGAAACTTTTATGTTTATTAGTCGCCCATTTGATGTAATAATAATTGATTACCACTCAAGTTCAGTTTATATTGAGAAAGGTTAATTAAAATCTGAAAAAAAGTAACAACTGAAACGTTATTTGATAAGTTGCTTTGGCATTGATTACATTGAAGTTGATTGTAGAATTTTATGGTTCACTCTACAGCACTTTAATCATCATTATTACGGATATGAGTTTTATTGATTAACACTAATCGATTTGTTAATGTTATTAGTTGGATAATAGTAAATTTGTAAAAAGAAGATAGTCGACATTGAATTTTATTCACGACATATTCGCGTCTACGATAAAGCGAATGGATTATCCATCCATTTATGAAATGACACGAAAGCATTTGGATTTTTATTGCAATACTTAAAAATTAATGACGAAGTTTCAAGGCATTTACGATTGATAAGTATAACACTTGAAAATATGTATTGATGTGTAGACATTATCTACATACTTTGTAACCTAAACCACGACGACCTTAATCCGAAATCATTCTGTAATCCATTTTTACAAGGCTTCTAATACAGAGAAAAGCAATATAAATTGACGGTTTGTTCATCGGTGCTCTAGATAAGTTGATGAAATCAACTTTGCCAAACCTATCAATTAATCAAACAGATTCTCTGTTTTCAATGAATTGAATGAGCTGATAGACAAAACAAGCCAATTGAACTATAATTCCAGTAGTTTATTTATTATAGAAACGTATTATTTGCTTTACAAATTCATTAAATCAATAAATGTATTAACATATCACTTCACAGATTCTCTCTGATTACACATTATATAAGACGAAACAATTGAAAGTGCATAATGAACAATTCTATGTACTAAGCACTCTCATGTAACATAAAAACCAATTACTTCGTTAATATTTATATTTTGTTTTGTATCCAATTCTGAGATGAAGCAATTGATGATAGTAAATGCAATAAATATTTAATGTAATAAAAGGCAATTGTCGTTCAGTGTTAACCATCCACTGTTTGTATATACACATATAAATATTTTTATTATTCCGATTTTCATTTCAACGGCTTTCGTGTGCCTTGATTTTAATCCGTGTCATTTGATATCAAGCAAAACCTTTTTATAGTTAATGACTCATTAAAATTTATTTCCCAATTTTTCATTATTAAAAAATAACTCGTTGAATATTAATTAAAACGATTTTGAGGCGTAAAGTTTTTTTTATTCTTCTTCGCAGTATTCCATTTAAATTGATTTCGAAGGGAAATTCCGTCGAAACCAACATTTTGCGTAATTTGTTAACATAATTTATCTAGCGCTGTAATTTCATACTTCGGATTAAAAATAGTTCTCCCCCTGGTTACTTTAGTTAACAATAATAATTGATGCTAAACATTTATTGGAAATTTTCACTTGTCACCTTAGGGACGAAGCTTTTTTCCTTCCGCGTTTTGATTTTACTTCCTGTAACGGACCACTAAACTCTAACCGAGACTTAAACGAAGCCATACGTGAAGTAATCTAATATAAAACATCAAAATTGGTTTCGAAGACTGAAATGAAAATTTATGTGCGTAATAAATGTGTTAATATGAGAGGCACGACTTGGCGTTCGTTTCATTCTTCTATTTCTTTTTATACCTTAGAACCATGACATGTTGCAATTTCCTTGAATGTTTTTGCCAATAAAGCAAGTGATTTCTCACAAGGCGCAAAAAGCTTCTTACTTTTGTTAACTTAACGATGGATGACAAAACGAAAGAAAGAAAATGTAATAAAAGGCGAAACGTCTCTCAATGACAACTTCAAGTGCTTCAAATACATTTATTCCTCCGTGTCTGCCATCGCTCTTGTTCTCATTGTAATAAAAATTTGACTTTTATTACAGAAACAATTCCAACTTTTTGATTTTCCATTAAGTAACGAAGAAGACAGAAATAGCAAGAACGTAATACATTGAGACATAAAGCAGAAATTGTTGAGATAACATCAATCAATTACACAGGAATATCTTTCAAGTGTGTGCGTGTGTGTGCTAAATTCTTTTTCTGTGTCTCTTGAACTGGGAGTCGTTTATAGAAGAAGAAAGAAATCATCGCAAAACATTTGCACAATTTTGATTAGAGAGAAAGAAAAGATTGAGTGTTGTTAATAAAACAAGAAGTTGAGCAAATATTGCTGTGAATAATCGAAAGGAAGAAAGTTCAAACAATAATTAATAAAATAAGAATTAATTCGCACAAACAATCTGTGGGAGGATAAAATAACTAATCAAATTGTTGATAATCTCAAAAAGAAAGTCAGCAACTCATCAGTTGAAAATGTTTCGTGCATACGGTTCATTTCCAAACAGTGGTGGCGGCACTGAAACGTCTTCTTTACGAAATCCTTTGGAGAACATTCAAACATGGGGCTCGTCACCGATTGCACCACCACCAACTCCAACACCTTCACCATCGACAACATCTTCTTCATCACCCGATTTTCATACTTCTCAAACACAACCACCAAATATTAATAATCAACGACATAATAGTCTGAGACATCTGCAACAGACAACACAATTTCAGAATAATTTACACTCACATCAACATCAACAACAACATCAACAACAACATCATCATCATCAGCAGCAGCAACAACATCAACAACAGCAGCAGCAGCAAAAATCACAACCGTTCTTTATTGAAGCGATGAATAATAATAACAACAACACTAACAATGGATTCAAGAACAACGATATCAAAGGTAATATAAGAAAAGTTTTTCAACACCTCATTTTCATGTATCTTGTACATAAATGTCGTCGTATGAAGACACGAAATTATCTATTAATTTTCACGGTATCTTGTTTACTCTCAAAAATCTCGTTTCTCGTATTCTGACGTTATGTTTGTTGTGTATTTATATGTTCGTTTTCTTCTTCTTTCGTCTGGTAATCTTTTCAGAATATTTTCTTACATTATTCAGAGCTTGAAATCGTCATTTCCATTTTAAAGTGAATTTTATATTCCTTCATTGTTCTCGGAATTTTTCTAATATAAAAATGAAACTTACGGAAAGCTCGTCAATTGTTTCAAAATCCACGCCCTGATATTAACTTGAGAATAAAAGAAAAGGTCTTGTTTGTTTAATTTTCTCAATTTTATTCTTCTCAAAATATCAGTGGAGGCAGATGATGTCGAAAATTAATCAAAAAAAAAGAAAGAGAAAAAGCTTTCATTTCTGAAAGCTCGGCAAATATTACTTGGAAACCTTGCCAACCATCACCAAACTCACCCTATGGGTTTTTTTTCTGATATGGATGACTTTTAATTAATTATTGAAACTCATCGAGAATTGGAATCTACCGTTTACACTTGATTGATTCTAGGAAGTTTCTTTGCCTTTCTTCCAATTAGGAAATTTATTGTTTCATCCTCGTCATGGCATGTGAGTCGATTTCCTAAGGTAGAGTTTTTGTTTTTCAATAATTAAGTGAATTCAATGATGACATGTAGTTTATGTATGAACAATTAACTCGTGTAACATACTGACCTGGAAGAAAATCAATACATAATTACAACATTTACTTATGAGTAACTAGTTGATTACATAGAAGAATTTATTTAATCAGAAGCTTTCTAAATACTTAATTGATGAATAAACTTGTTACTTAAATTTAATGTTGTAATATTAGAGACAAGCGAACAATAATAAATGTGATTTTGATTAAGTAATTAATCGTTGATGGGGATCATTGTAGATGTCGACATTCTCCATTTCTTCAGTTTCTTCATCTGAAAATCCATTAACTTCAGTTGAATTCGACTCCATATTCAAGTCAGCTGCTGATTTGTAGTATGTGAAATCATCGTTAACAATTTCATATGAATTTTTATTCAACTTGTTTACTTCGGGAGCAGATGAAGCAACAAAGTTGTCTGATGTTGTGGTTCTGGGAAATGGAACTGATTTTGTTTCTGTGCTAACTCTCATCAGAGAATTATTTTTGAAATGCATTCTGAAAGTTATAAAATTAAATAATTTATTGTTCAAATAAAGTTTCTTTGATGTATTACCCGATGTTGAACTTTCCATGAAAACTACGACGACGATACCAGACAAGTGCGATAATTGCAGACAAGATAATTATAATTAGGAAAAACCAAATCCAAAAGTAACTCGTTGAGTTCACCTCGTTAAGAACCTACAAAGTTGAAATATTAAAAAATATTAAAATGATTGAATTCTATGTGCAAACCTTTCCAAGGCATAAAATTCCTGGCGAAACTGATGTTCCATTTGTGCAAAGACATTTAAAACCAACATCAACAGGAATACAAACAATATCACAAGGATGTTTATCGCAATGATTCGCATCAATCTTCTGTCTTGATTGTTGATTAATGACCATTCGTTTTGCAGTATTTCCCATGATTTCTGTTTGATGACATTCCATATTTCCATACAATTTGCATCGTGTCAGCTGCGAGCTGACGCGGTTTAAAATGTAGGCATGGTTCTCATAAACTGACAATGATGATGGTTGTCTTATCATTCTTGACTGTCTCGTAATAAATTTTCGATTTTGACCTTCGTAATCAATGACTTGAAGACTTTGCGATTCATATTCAGTGAAGTAAACTCGCTGTAGATCGATATCAAGTGCAAGTGTCGTTACGAGGGTTTCATTCATTAAAATTTGTTGATCACTCCCATCGAGACGCATTTTAATAATCTTCGATGTTGGATGAATGAAAATTGCGTTGGTAAGTTGAACGAAAAACAAGAAATGATTGACGGGATCAATTTGAATCGCCGTTATTTGGTCATGATATCCAAATTTCTTTATAACTGCGCAACCTTTCGTGTCCATGTTACAAACATGAATCTCAACCGTTTGATCATCATCATAATGTACGATGTAAGTGTTGTCAGATATCCAATCATGTGCAATTTTAAATGGATTCGAAACAACTTTGAAATGCTTTGTATCACGTGTATCCATATTCATCTCAAAAAGCTCGTTATTGCCATTTAAAGTATATAAAAGTTTCCTTTTCTTTACATTCACATCGATGTCTGCAATCTCTAAGTAATTTGTATCAACTAAAACATCCATTCGTTTTGGAAACCTCGTCAATTCTCTGATCTCATCGCTTATCGTGATAAGCATTGTTGACGGTTTTCCTCTTGCTTTACAAGTTGTTTTGTCTGAAGCGAGAATGAAACCATCGTGACATGCACATCTGAACGATCCGATTGTATTGAAACATTCTTGTGCACATGGATCATTTGTTTTACATTCGTCAATGTCAACGCATTGTGTGTCACCTGATGAACTTAATTGGAAACCTTCATAACATGAACATTTAGCGCCTTTCGGTGTCTTAATACATTTTTGTTTACAAGGATTGACGTCTTTACAAGCGATTGCACAAGCTCCACCTTCGTCATCTCCACCACTACAATCAACTTTACCATCACAAACTTTTCCATAACTTAAACAACTTCCATCTAAACATTTGAACTCAGATGCAGAACAAGTTCCTGTAAATCGTGGCAATGTTAAAGTTTTATCACAATTTCTTTCATCTGAAAGATCATCACAATCATCTTGTCCATCGCATACCCATTGTGATAAGATGCAGCGCTGATTCGCACATTCAAACATATCGTTTCGACAATTTGGACAATCTTGTTCGTCTTCTCCTTTCGGGCAGTCAGGGAAGTTGTTACAAACTTGTTCGTTTTTAATGCATAAAGTTGAATCGGAAGTGCATTGAAATTCGTTATCATCGCATGTTTCATTCATTAATTTGTCAACAACGGGACATCCAATTTCGTCAAATCCATGCTCACAATCTTCATGACCATCGCAAAAAAGATTTGCTTTGATACACCAACCATTTGAACACGGTCTCATTGGCGCTTCACATGTTGCCATTTTACATCCGGAATGTTCATCAGAAGCATCTTTGCAATCGATGAAAGCATTGCATTCAAATTCTTTTGGTATACATTGGCCTGAGAGACATTTAAAGAATTCATTTGGACAATTTACTCGTTTGCATAAATCTTCTCGCTCATCGAAACCATCATCACAATCATTGATGCCATCACATCGTTGTGTGACGTCAATACAAATTCCCGATGGACATCTCATCTCATGACTCTTACAATGTTCAATCTTCTCCTTCTCGTTGCAATTTTCTTCGTCTGACTTGTCTTTACAATTGTTATGTTGATCACAACGTTGTCCAGCCGGAATACATTGATTACCGGTCTTGCACATGAACTCAGTTGCATCACATTTAAATTTAATTTCATCAGTTGTGCAGTTCTCTTCATCGGATTTATCAAGACATTCTGGTTTGCCATTACATCTTTGTGAAGCATGAATGCAAACATTTGACGATTTACATTTAAAATCACAAACAAATCTACTGATGCATGTTGTGTTTGTATCATCTTTAAATAGACTGCCAGGTGCACAAATGCAAACACGAGATGCAGGTCCATTTGATAAGCAAATATCTGAACAACCGCCATTTTCATTTGTACAAGGATGGTTTGAAGTCTTTAATGGAATTCCAGCCACAACACTGATTACGTCTGATTTTGGTGATTGTCCTGGTGGTGTTTCAATTGTTGCCAATTTAAATCCACGATTTGTGTGTCGATTACGCCATTGCAATGTTCTTGACTTTAATGAACTCCAATAAAGTTCATTGCTGACAATGGCAATCGGACCTGGTGACTTTTTCGTTGCAGCAAATAACGTTCTCCTTAACCCATTAAAATCAGAACTTTCAATTTTCTTTCCATCGCCATCAGACCAATAAAGTGTCTCGTTAACCTCATCAATTGCAAAATGAATTGGACCTGTCATACTCAAACCATCTTCGACGATATGATGATGGTCATGACCACCTTGCATTGATTGCTTGTCGATGTGACAACGTCTATACGATTCAAGTGCCACAAACATTTCACCACGTAATGGAGCTAAAGCAATCGTAGTTGGTCTATCACTTCCAACATAATGTTCGATGATGGCGCGCTTTTTTGTATTCAACGAATAAACTTCGATTGTACTTTTAACGTAGTCGACCCAATAAAGATTGTTGGCAAGATAATCTAATAGAGTTGATGAAGGAAATTAATTATTTTAAATAATTTCAATCACAAAGCAACATTAATCTTACCATAAGCCATTGAAGAAACACTGACAATGTGTTCGTCAACTAAAGTTACGACATTTCTTGTATTTGGATCAGCAAGAAAAATTTTCTTTCCTTGACTTTCTGCGATAAAAACTTTTCCATTTATTGAGTTAAATTCCAATCGTTCGATGTTTATTGGAACATCATTAGCAAATGTATTAAAATGACGTCCAAAAGTTTGTTGTGGAAGTGACACGAGATGATTTCCAATGCCAAGCAGAATGTTGTAAGTTTTCTTACTTGAGAAGCAAGTATGTTTGTCTGGAAGAAGTTCCATATTTTCTGGACATGTGCAAGTATACGTCGAATTCATTGCAAGCAAGCAAATGTGTGAACAACCACTGAGCATACAAGCGTGCTTTTGATGTGGCATCATAGCTTTGTGGTAAATGTGAACATCTGAAATCAATAATAATTAAGCAATGACCAAAACGGTGGTTAAGAAAAAAAAACCTTTGAAGACTCACCAAAGATTTGTTCGCCTTGAACGAGAATTTCGTGATTCTTTCCAGTGAATTTATCACATGACTCAATACTCATCGTCTCCCAGTCACTCCAATAAAGACGATCTTCAAACAAAGCAAGACCGAAAGGATGTTGAACAACGCCAGCTAAAACCTTCCGACGATCAGTTCCAGTGATTGTTGCACTTTCGATTGTTTGAATTTGAGCGTCAACCCAATAAATTCTCCCATTCGGCCAATCTAAAGCTAAACCATTTGGCCATGCAACATCATCAATTAAAACTTTCGCTTCAGATCCATCCATGTATGCCACGCCAATGTGAGAGTGAAGTCCCCAATCAGTCCAAAACATTAAAGATTCAGATGGATGTAAAACAATACTTCGAGGATTGTTCATCTCTTTCATATTTACTAATTGAGTGCAATAACGTCCATCACTCGTACAAACTGCAACATGCGATCGTAATGCATCAGTGAAATAAATATTTCCTGTCAACCAATCGATGGCTAAATCTTCAGGTGATTCCAAACCAGCAGTCAAAACTGATTCCTTCCGTTCAGTTTCTGGTATGAATTTCACGATTGATTCACGACCTTCAGAAATTTCCGTCCAATAAATATTTTGACCATCATAAGTGATTCCAATAGCTTGTCTTGTCTTAGCAACTAATTTAGCCATTTTTGAATGAATGCGAATCGATTTAACATGCTTTTGAGTGGTGTAAAGTAAGAGTGGATCAACTCCGTAAACAACACACGATCGTCGATCACTTTTTAATCGAAATTCTTTGGCACATGTGCAGTAATATGAACCATCAGTGTTGACACATCCTTGTGAACATATTCCGAAAGTTAAACATTCATTGATATCCTAAAGATGAAAAAATAAATGTCTCTTGAATTAAAGTAACAAACGAAATGAAATGTTTGCTGACTTACCTCACATTTTTGCGTGACATTATTGTAGTTTCTTCCCTTCCCACATAAACATGCAGCACCGGAAGGGAAAAGCTGACAATTTCCATTACATCCAAGTTTATCACAAGCATCCTTTACATCACACAAACCACCTTCATCACTCTTATCCAAGCAGTCATCGTTCCCATCACAAACTTTCGCCAATGAAATGCATTCGTCCTCGGATTTACATAAGAAATTTCCTTCTGAAAGTTCACATTGGGGTGTACAATGAAGTTCGTCACTTCCATCAGGGCAATCTTTCGAGCCATCACAAACCCAATTGTGACTTGGTAAACATTTCTTCCCATCAGTACAAAAAAATCCTGGACATGTTGAATTCTTGTTTTGACAAAGTTCTGGCTTTTCATCGCGACCATCGAAACAATGTTCAGTTCCATCACAAACAAGCTTCTTAGGTATGCAAATCTTTCCTTCGCATTCAAATTCTTTATCGGGATTGCAAGGTTTTCGAAAGATTTTCTCGTGCTCTTTCAATGGATCGCACATTGAGTCACTTTCGTCACTTGCATCGGGACAGTCTGCTATACCATCACATGTGAGTGAGCTTGTAATGCATGTCTCGTTGTTTCGACATAGAAAATAGAAATCACCACGACAAAGCTTCATGTCTAGTGAATTGAAACGATCAAGATAATAAAGGATTGTAATGAATATAATTATTTATTTACTCACCACAATCTTCCTCATCATCACGATCCGGACAATCGTAATTGTTATTACAAATGTAACTCTTGGGAACGCACGTTTTACCATCAAAACATTGATAATGTGTTGCCAGTTTACATCCTTCATAGAAAAGTTGATCTTCAGCAAATGCAAAGCATGTAAGACATGTTACTATAACTAATGGAATTTCCATTGATTTCCATTTTAATTTCATTTTTAATTATATGAAATTTATCTGAAAAAGAAAGTTTTTGTTTTTCACCACGTGTTTCTATATTTTTATTCATAAACAATAAATCAGTCAAGTCGTTTATGTCTTTATTTATAAATTTACCTTCAACTTAAACACTTCTAAATATTACAAATATTTTACAAAAACGAGAATGAATAATTCTGGAAAATTATTTAACAAATTCAAGTGAACAATTTTTGACTGACGTTCAACACAGAATGAAGCAAACGTAACTTCGATGGTAAGAAAGTTATCAGCTTGATTGACAATGCACGCGGCATGTAACAAAAGAAATTCTCTCTCGTTTCTCTTCGGAATTAGAGAAAGGTTTTCGTTTCAAATATTTATAAAAAATGGATTTGTGAAATAAAGTCCCGACATGATATTGTGAATTCTTAAGCTGAAGTTGTTTTTATAAGCCCCCAAGCTGACATCTTTACATACTTCTTTGTTTCATTGTTTATAAATTTCTTTAATGTATTATTGTATAATACAAAAAAGAGCTCCACGACAGTTTAAAGTTCAAAGTAGGATACTTTCTGAACTAAATGAATGTTTCTAACAAGCTAATTCACGAACGCCGTGAGGTTTTTCATTAAAAATACTTTTAACAATATTTCCATAAAAAATTTCTTCGTTTTTATATAATTAGTTAATCTCTTGTTTACGTTCCCCGATGCAGAGCAGCGAACTTCTTTGACATTTTACATACTTTTTAAATTAAAAAGAAATCTTCATCATAAATTTACATCGGAAATTGTTTGAATATTCAAATCGAAGACTTCAAGACTGCCACGACTGAAAAGATTGTAAGAAAAAAAAACTTTTCGTCATCTGAAAACCGCCCTTTTTATCAATTGTTCACACCATTTGCTTCTTTAATCATTCACACCAAACATCGACACATAGCAACGAGGCCAAAAGCATGCAAAATTCCGCTCATTATCTTATCATCACCGAAATTTTTCCTCTTCTCCTTTCTCGTTTTTTTTTTTGCTTCTCTTCTTGGAGTTTCATCTTTGCTTGTTCTCGGGCCGAGACTTCATTATGTTTGCTATTAATAAATGTGTCGGAAAATAAATATAAATTGTAAATAAATTGCGGTAGCAGTGGATAAGAACGTAAAAGTAAGCTGAGAAGGGAGATGAACAAGAAGAGGGATTATTAATGTGTATGAGTGCTTCTATTTCTGTGTGTGTATGCGAAATAAATAGTCGAAGAGTCAAGAGATTGTATCCAAAGAGATAATGAAACGATTCATGGATAAGAAAACCGGAAAATTGTTATGAAATGCTTAAAATGTTAGTTCTCTTTCCTTTCACATTTTTCTCAACTCAACCGCTTAATGAAAGACCATCGAAAATAATTTCTTGCCATGAAGAGATAAAAATGTTTCACGATGAGTAAAAGCGAGGAAATTTTCTGATATCAGGTCGTAATTAAACATTAATTAATTCAATTTCTTGTTTCATTAACGATTCTTGACTCCAGCTTCATGATTTATTTACGTCCTTGTCTTCTTACGTTGAAGGTGAAGTTAAGAATTAAATTCTTCCCCTTGCTTAGCTGTTTCTTATTAAAGTATTTCTCAGATTTTTCAGACGATTGCACTGAGCTTCTGTTTTATTAATAAGTTGAAGAAGTTAATGGAAAACTCAATGAGGCAGCAAGAAGTTGTGGGAATTTTTTTTGCTAATTAAATTTAAAGATTTCCGTGTACTTTTTTTCGGAAGCTAAAATCAATTCGATATCTTAAATAAGAGGAAAAGTTCGCTTCTTCCTCTTTACTTGTCAGCTTATGGTGAAGTTTTAATTAATTTTGGTAACATTAAATAAAAGCTGAGCAAGCTCTTTCTTTATCCTTTACTTAAAATCCCGAGAATTATTTATTTTCTTATGACTCAATATCTTACCTCATTAGTCTTGGCTCGTCAAAGTCTCATCTTGCCAAAGCTAAGCTACAACACTGCACGTGGCTTTCATTCAAAATCTTATTCCTTTAAAAAGAAGACGAAGAGAAAAAAAAAGAAATAAAATTCACGAGCGAACACATTCTTGATTGACATGTTTCCTCGGGTTTGAAAAGAGAATTTATAAATTAAGCAACAGAGTGAGTGAGACAATCAATCGACAAAATAGAAAAACAAATTTATAAATAAATTATTGAACACAATATCTACTTTCTTTCTAGTTAACGTGGACGAGTTGAAAAGTAATTCTTTGAAATGAGATAAATATTTATTTTCATTTTGACTCTTCTTGCAATTACGAAGTTTGCATCAAGTAAATATTTGCCGAAGTTCTTACAAATTTAATTTAAAATTATTCATTTTGTTCACAAAGACGCAAAATTAACATTTAGGGTGTATAAATAAAAATAAAAAATGATTCCGCTTATTCTTCCATGTTGAGATATTGGATGAAATATTTTCAAATATTTGCGATAGGTTTTCTAGAGATTCGCACACATTTTTCCATAAATAGATGTAAATCTTAATTTCCATTTTTCACCCTAATATTATTGCTTCCTACATCTATCTACCTACTTAAGAACATCCCATAAATTATTAACTATCTCATCAAAATCACCCTTCATGAAAGATTGTTTCACATAAAGGCGTAAATGAGCTCTGAGGCAAAATGCTTTGCTGGTCTTATAGTTTTCATTATCTTACACATTCATCGTCAGCAGAAAAGTGCTTTTCTGTCTATTTTAAAAATAACCAGTTTGATGAATAATGTTCATCAATCCATAAAAAAACTAAAATGAAATCATCAACGCAAAAGCGACGATAAAAGAAGAAAACTTTGAAATAAAAATGCAAAGTCGATTACTTAATAAGATGTGACTTGGTTAATAGATTTCTTTATATGAAATTCTTATTTCCTAATGGAAGTCTGATGTAACTTGGGTCAAATGTTATTTGCTTTGGGAATGCATCATGCATTCGATGATATTTAATTTCCTTTGTTTGCCACAAAAAAAGGGTTTTGATGTTATAATGATTGAAAGTTATTCAAGTTATTTGTATGACTTCATATCTAGTTGTAATGTAAATAATTTATTTGTTACTGTAATTACTTTATGTATTCTATTTGTGACGCTAATAACGTTAAGTTCTTTTTTTTCCCTTCATCGCTTATCACTATAATTTCGGCTTATTCACAGACATGAATCATGATACATATTTATATTGATCAATAACAAGAATTAAGCGAGCAACTTTATGAACAACTAAAGCTGTCGGAAGCTTTCAGAATAATCTACAACGTGAAAAGCCTAGGCCTCAATAACAAAAGCCGCATACTTACTCACACACAAACTTCCAGACTCGAATGTCTCTCACTCCGGAAACAGAAATTACAGTCGTTTGCTTTGGCATCAATTTTATATTCATGAGTATTTATCCCCAGACCTTATTGTGAATGAATATTTCGTGACTGAAGGTAGAGGAAACAATTACGGAAATTAATTTGTTATGTGATGATCGTTACTTATAAAAAAAAATTAAATAAAATTATTGTTGATTATTGGGAAGAAAATTAAAAAAGAAAATTTTTAATCTCATAACAATTAATTAAACTCTGCGGTTTATAATAAAAGCTTAATTAAAGACTCGCAAATTGACAAAGCTTTGTGTCAAAGCTCATCAAAGTGATAATATCTACCACAATGATGAAATTAATGACAATTTATTATCACCAAAAATTTCAAACTAAATAATTTAAAAATTTATTGGCGAAAAACTTTCATGTTTCATTCAACTGAAAGCGTCTATTTACAACTGTAAAATGTTCTCAATCATTAATATTTCTCTAATGCTTCATTTAATTTTTGTTTAATTTATGCTTTTGAAGAGGCGTGGCTTCCTGACTGGTCCTGTGACAAGCAACAAAAGTTTCACAATTTATGTAGCATTATTTATGTGAGGAAACCATACAGCGAATCATGAAATGAGATAAAAACAAACTTTAACTATTTGTTATATTAATTAATGTTTGTATATATTACACTCAGCGGGAGTGAATCGTGGGCGATAAAAATGGTGGAAGTGGAAAAGTTTTTATGCTTCAACTTTTGTATTTGTAGCAATTTTAGAAATTAATTTTATTGATATTTCGGAATTTGAGCTCCTAAACTGAAGCTGGGGAAGCAGAATTATTAAACTCCATGAGCTAATTCAATTTGCATAAATATTTATCAGGTCAGAAGGAGAACCGTCCATGTTAAATTATATAAATATTTAACTTGAAAGAAAATTCAACCTTGAAATTGATGTTTACTTATGTATGACTGTAAAGACTGAAATGAAAATGGAAATCAACATAAATGAAACTTTATTTGAAATTAAAATTTACATAAACGGGCGTTTCTGGTTCAGTTTGCTTATTTAATTTATTTTTTTATTTTCTCATCAAGATATTTACTTTAAATTGATAATTGCAACTATTTGCAAAGAAAAAAGATCACAAAAGCAACCTTGAAACATTTTTCCAATTAATGAAAATTAAACTTCCATCGTTATTAAATATTGAAAATGGAAAACAGTGTGAATTTTCATGTTTCCATAGCGAACAAACGATGAACGATTAAAAAATCGATTTATGTAGCATTTTTAACCCGGTAGCATTCATTGAATTGCTCGCAGACATTCGACACAAATTTATTTATATTTTTTTTCTGTTGTTTCATTCCACAGTTGAGCGGAAATATTCAATTAAGAAAAACATAATAATTTTTAAACCTTTAAATTATCAGCTTGAAGCAAGTGCGAGCAAACAAGCAAATCAAGCGGCGTTGAAGCTGATGAAATTGTGAATTTTCATTGTTATTTCACCTTTTATTGCCATTTATTTTTCTTCAACATAATTAAGCTTTTTGTTCAATTTTCCCTTCAAACCACAAACAGCGTTTTGTGTGTTTTTAAAAAGCTCAAAAACAGAACAAAATCAAAATAAGTGCAATTTGCGCTCACATGAGCTCGAAAAACAAAATTGTGGTCAAGGTCAGTGTCGTTTGCTAGTTTTTATTGTGATGCAATTCGATGAGTTGTGTAAGTAGTACAAGAAAGCACAATACGTTGATGAGACTGCCAACAATTTAAATACGAAACACACGAATGCGATTGTTTGTCTTAATTGCATTTTTTTTCTATTGTTTCTCTTTTTTCGCTTTGTAAGAAAATAATAAATTTGAAACGAGCTTGTAAATGACATTGACATTGCTATTAAAAATTTAAAGAAAAATGTTATTTTTATTAAGAATTAAGGAGAGGAAAGTGAAATTAGAGCGAAGGGTGGAAAAAGATCTCAATGATATACGCGCTGGCATCTCGTCGGAAGTCGTTTTTCATTTTGGAAAGAAATTAAATTTTAAATATTCATAAATCATTTGAATGCTGTCGTAGTCAGGAATCATGAAAAATCTGGGTATACGAGAATTCCTTTTACCCCAAGAAAGTTCGTCGTGTGACATTCGTGACCTAATTTAACTTAGTTTTCTTTTTTAAGTGAAAATTATGTTTGAGAATCTTTATTGAAAAGGATGAGTTCGCAACTTATAAACAACATTATACCGAAACTTATGTACAACTCCTTTTAATCTGATAATTTATACAAATCCCAATATTCAATGAAATTTCGTCACAACGAAGAAGATTCTTGCGTTCCTCCAATAAATCTTTAATTTTCTTTTCCTATTTTCCGGTGAGAGTTTGAGATTCGAAAGTGTCTAATTCCATTCGATCCTATTTTTATTTATGTTATTTCCTTCTTCCTATCATGACAGGTGAGATTTAAACCGTCACAATGGCATTACTTACTTCTTATTTGGAAAACGAAAAGAAAAACAATGAACGAAATTTTCAATTTTCTCTTCAATTTCGCATTGATTGAACAAGATTCTAGAAAAAAAAGGTAAAAGCATGCTTGAAAAAGCATTTTCAGAATTGAATTAAAAACAATCAGATGTTTTGAATTGCTGAAGGAGTTTGTTATGATTGCGTTTGAAGAATTGTTTAGCAATTGCCTTCAAGATATTTTCATCAAATTGTACTTCTCTTCGGTAAACATCGAATGTATAAAAAGAATGTTTGCTTACTCTACAGAAATACAATTCTGAGAGCTTTGAAGCTTCAGCTCAAATCAAATCTTGATACATGAAAATTTAATGGATATTTCGTTCATTTTTGACAATTTAAAAACGAAAAACAAAAGTGCTCAGCAAACATGTTGCTAACGTAACAGATATCCAACAATTCAACTTATAAAATACTTGGCTCGAGTTCAAAAGAATTTTTGACCGCTGACAAGACGTTGTTAAATAAATCATTTATCCCCCAAGTAGATACTTTGTTATAAAAATTCTTGTACATTTCTCTTGAAAACCTTCAAGCATTAAACATGACTCGAACCCAAGAGCACAGTGACGTTTGAACTCGACAACATACTTTAAAGATGATTCTCAACAATACTACATTACACGAAGGAACGTTTTTATTTGAAGTTGATGAGCTTTCAAATAACCTGTCGAAGAAAATATTTTTAAGTCGTGTTCTGCAAAAGCCCACTCAAGCTTTTTCATTTTGTTTCAACCGATAAAAGATTCTGAAAAATGTTCTTGCAAGACTTGGAAACTTTTTCCTCCCTCCTTTGATTTCTTTTTTCTTTTCTTCTCCCTCGAACGAGATTGTTATTTCTGAAAATTCATTTTATAGCTTTAAGCGCTTAAAAGTTCTGTCTGTTCAAAAAAAGTTTCTTTTTCCTTCAGTAAAGTTTGCCCAAATAATTACGTACAGAATTTTTTTTTCCGTAATGTCTTTCTTACCCAAGGGGTCGAATGCGAGTCCAAACATTGAATTTGATCAAAGTAAAACTAAGACTAGATTAGGGATGGCAATTATGCGGTGTTTTAAGCAAATGCTTTTCATGTCGAACCTTCTTTTCTTCATGTTTATGTGTCAGACCATCACTTTCCTTTCTTTTTTCTCTGCTTTTGACTTTGACGTAAGACTAAGGAAAACAATTTTTCGTTTCTAATGAATTATTTACATGCATGACTGCGATTCTTGAATAGTACGAAAGCTTTTGAAAAAGAAACCTTTTAACACTTTATAAAACATCAGATAATGGAATTTTTAAAGCATAAGAGTTGTCGTAAAATGTTGTTTATAATGCCTTTAAATTCTTTAGATGTGAGCCTGCCTGCTTGTCTGCCTAGAATGTTTTAAGAAGTCGTTCGTTCGCATGACAATGTTCACATCAAGATTTTGTTATCTTTTCTCGTTCGAAAGTGATGTATTATTTCAAAGGATTTCATATTCTTTTGAAAAATGAATCATGATAGGATCCAAGGAGAAGAATAACAAAAGCACGAAGCATGTTAAAATGAGATGAGAAGAAACCTTTTGTGTTATTTGTTGTTTTTCTGATGAAACAAATTACCAACGAGAGTCTCAAGAGGAACGATGTGTTTTCTAATTCATAAACTTGAGTTGGATTTGGACTAAGTGGAAACATAACTTTATTTCACATTGGCCAGCTGTCTTTAAAAAGCTAGAACAGTGGATTAATTGAAATTCCCCTTGTGACTTCTACATTATCTTAAAACTAAGTTTAAAGAAGAAAAAAAACAGATGAAATTTTACAGAACTAACTTTCAACGAAGTGAAAAGAGCAATCTGCTTTGTGTCACTCAAGAATGGTTGAAATATCGCAGGTGCCTGCATTCACTTTGCAACTTGTTTTTCAACTCGAAAACTTTTTTAATAAAAAGTATCGTGAAAGATTAAAGAAGAAAGGAATAAAGGAAAGTCAAGCATGATTAAATTCTAACAACATGATATTTCGTTATCAGAATATCAAAAAGAAATAATCAAAAATCAATATTTAATGATCTCAATGTGAAATTGGATTCTTTCTACGAATCAATAAGTCGATCTAATCTGCTAAGAAAGAATATTTGTGTGCTTTGGCAAAAGAAGATTTTGGAGAAATGCTTCCTAAAGCTTTTGAAAAGTATATTTCTAAACGTGCTTTAAATTTCATTCAAAAATGATGCTTGAAATGTTGACTTGGAAAAAACTTTCTTTCGCTACAAGAAATTTATATTGGCATAAAAATGATTCTATTTCATCATCCATAATCTATGATGAATTTACCTTTCACAAACTTTTACATTCGTTGAGCTTTAAAAAGATATTAAAATTAAGTTTATGACGCTCGTTAAACGATAACATGAAACATGAACTAGAATAGAAGCGAAGAGTTTTAGAAATCATTTTTTTCCTTTAGTCTTCTATGTTTAACGGACATGAAAAACTCTGAATTCAAGCTTTCACAATAACAAACACAAATTTTCCGTAAGAAAATTGATTGTCAGGATTTTACTTGCATAAAGTTTTTCATACGTTCATTCTTCTTTCAACTTCTTCCATACCGACTTTAAATTAATTGAGCGTGTTAACAACTTGATACGAGTACGAAATGTGGGTAAAAGTTTTAATGAGTGCAGATGTCAAAAATGTAGAGATGCGATGGATCGAGCTTTCTCTCATTTCAAGATTTTTCTCCCTTCATGCTTTTAGATAATTATGCAAACATCAACATTCTATTCTCCTGACACTCACTCAACTTATGAACATAAAGAAGTCAAGCAAATATAGACTAAACCAAAGCTAACTGAACTAAGGGAATCATTAAATTTTTCATGACGTTTCTTCTAACCCGAAAGAAATTTCATTAAACATCATAAAATGAAGTTTTCCTCATGCGCAATTCGTTCTTCGTTCCTTAAAGTTCTTTCTTATGGGAGCTTTGGGGCTTTTCTTTTTGTTTCAACTCGAAAAATCATTTAGTTATGTTTCATTTAAACTTTATATAGAAATGTTAGGATATAAAACTTTGCCATGTGCTGCCAACGTGTTTATTATTTACTTACACTTATGAATATAAGATTATCGCGTTGATGCGCAATGAAAACCGAATCAACTTATAATTATAGTAAGCCTCGAAAGAAAACGGAGAAGAAATCTTATTATTCGTGTTTTATTAGGTTAAATATTTTTAATGAGGTAACATCGAAAGTTACTCTCGTGAGACTTGCATAATGGAAGGTGAAACTGATTAAATATTAAACTGCACGGATTCCGGATTTTTCCTTTTTTTATGATAGCTATCATGCCTTTGCTGGGGTTTTTTCATTAATTTTTCAAGAAAAAGGCAAGACGATTTTTCTTTTTAAGCAAAGCCTTTTAAGAATTATAAAGAAAAGTTGGGAAAAATGAAAATGGCTGAAAATAACATCAACATTCAAATGGCAGCAAGTTTACGTAATGAACAAAAGCGTTGTCAACAATTTCATAAAATTTACCCTTGAAACAAAATTAAACCGAATAAAATGATTAACAATTTTTGTTTTCGTACATTTTCTCATTGCAGGTTTCCTTAACTGTAATTCGACGACTCTACAGTCATTAGCACAATTACAGGGTAAGTTTTTCATTGCTTTTCCGCATATGTTGCGCAAAACTTTTCGAATTTCCATCGTCGTAAAAAGTTACAAATGAAAAGACATTCTTTGAATCATAAAAAGGTTAAGTGGACTGCTTTCTTACTTATGAAAAGTTATAAAAATAAAAATCGATGATGATTCATTCGGTTTCATCATCACCTTTAGCCATCATAGGAACTTTTCCTTCGAGTTGGAAAATGTAAATCGTTTTCGATTGACGCAAATCGATTGAAGAAATAAAATTTCCATCATTTTTACAACATCATCAATAAAAGAAAATTGGTTATATCTGAGTTATTCTTTAGCTGCTTATGCTTGAGTATGGAGTCACATATAAAAGTTTATATTTTTTTTAAGTACTTGGAAAAGCATTTGCATAAGGCAGCATTTGGGAGATATTTTTCGAGGTTTTTATGTTTCTCTTTTGGGGAAACTTTGTAGACTCGACTCGTTCCTTCCTCGTTTCAATTATTTTAAGCTTTTAGAAATTCCTGTAAGCTTCTTTTTTGTGTTAAGTGTGTCAATAATTCTCTTTAGACTAGACTCGCTCATCGGCAAGTAAAGCAGTGAACTAAAACGAAGGGGAAACTGAATGAACATAAATTTTAAAGGTCTTTCGCTGTCTCGGGATTTTCAAGTCGCAAATCTAACAAATTAATAGACTAGAATCATGACGTTCAGTGATTTAAAAAGAAATAATGTTCAGTCCAAAGTGAAAGGAAAACAAAGAATTCGTATTAAATTTGTTATTCTCATCTTGTCTTTTTTGTCTTTGATGTTTTTGATGTCGACGCGCCATTTAAATTCCATCGGATCGATGCTACAATAGAAAATTAAATTTTTAACTTGTCATAAATTATTTTTCTCGCAAATTTATGTTCAAGAAGCGTGACTGTTGAGTGTTAAAAAATATATACATTTATAATATCAATTTAAAGCTTTTTGCTTTCCATCAGCTTTAAACCTTCCATTCGTATCACCTTAAATGTAATCTCCTGGATTTTATTATGAAGTAAATAACAAGAGAATGTAACAAGCAACAAGAAATATTTATTTAACAACAGAAGACCTTTTTTACCGACTCAGCGACACACGTTAACAGTAATTTTCTAGTTTGCGTGCTTCTAATCTACGCATTTAATTACATGCAATTCACCGAACAAAAGTGTGGGAGGGTAGAAACGAAAATACACGAAGGTAGTTACAAAAACGACACCATGCAAGAATATTTCTTTATGAAAGGGACTAAGGAGACTGTATCAATAATAAACGATGCCTTACAAAGGCAATAGTGCGTTGGTTTATTGACCAAAGACCGCATAACATCACTCCATCAAAAATTCATAAATTTTTCTATTCTTACAAGCGCCCTCAAATCTTCAAGGAGCAGAGGTTGTAATGTTATGGAATGATAACGAGTAACGACATTGAACGGATGGGGCAGTAAATACCAGTTTTCTTCTTAAGTGATGGATTATTTGGGAATAGCAAACGAGGAAGAATTCGGCAGGCAAACCCTCATCAAACGCAAATACATTTTCTTCTCGTCTCTGATACATTTTTTTTAATGTATGATAAATTCCAACAAATAGCACTAAACATGGGCTCGCTAGATGTCAAAGATGATCACTTGGACATCTCATAACAGCTTTTAAAATCCCATGACGTACGAATCGTCAGCCTCAATCTTAACTCTGTCCTATTTCTTATGATTTAGGTTCGATACTACATGATTACATTCAGCTATTCCTTTTAAGGAATAAAAAAAGGGTCGATCGTCAATTTCTTTTTCTTATACTCATTCAGTGGACATCTTCACCCCCAGAGGGTTTGAACTGAAAAAGAGAAAAAAGAAAATATTTTTAAAATGTGACGTTTTCTTTTCCTCTTTGAAAATTATTCGTCGTATGACAAATAGTATGAGGAAAACTCACATGCACGAACTTCTTGTCACGAGAGAGAAATTGACCGTAAGAGCCAATTTATAACTTCATAATCATTTGTTAGCTTGAAAAAAGGGCAACTTGACAAGTGGTTTTGGATAGGTGGTTTGTTTTTGCTGGTTTGGATCGAGTTGTTAAGGCACGAATTGATCGGAAAAAGGTCTGAAAATGGCGAGATTTCAACCTTTTGACGTTAATGATACAAATTGTTCTCGAAGCCATCCTATGCTGACAACTTATCCAACATCTTGCGTTGTATTTACGATTACTACCAACAATGCCCACTCTTATTTATTGCGTGTTTTGAATGTTGCTGTTTATTTCTCTCACCATCAATTTACCTTTCCCCGCCTCTTAATCCCATTGCAGCTTTAAAACAGGTGTGCACACCATAACCGAAAATTATTTTTATTACATGACGAAAAATCTATAAACAGGTCGTTTCTCTTTTTTCCGACTCTCAAAATTCTTCCTCATACTTACAATAGAATAACGACTGCTGTGGTAAAATTTATTGTTGGTTTACAACATTACAAAGAAGGCAATTGGAAGTACATACAAAATAGCAAATGGTCGTGTAGAACTTTAGGACGATTTCAATAAGGTTTCGTGCATAAAAAACACATCATTTGTACAGTTTAATCGACGTTGGTACAATGTGTAACATGAACAGTCATATAAAGAGCTTAAATATACTCAATTTGAGCTTTCATGCAAATGAAATTTTTCATTACGTAGATAAGTTGAAGTATTTAACAGCAAAAAATTTATGCTCTGGTCGATTACAGTCATTATTTCAATTGAAAAGTTTATCATGAAGTAATTTAATGACAGCGTTAACAAATAACAACAGAAAAAAAAAAGATTCATTGTTGGGATAACAAAGCAAAAGAGTTTTGACCTAATTTTGGTAGGAACATATCGGAATTCTTGTATAAATCTTTTTAAGCTTTCATCGCAGTTGGAGTCTTTTTCGTGGTCAGAACTCAGCACGAGTCATAACAAAAATAATTACAGAAAAAGATGAAAATCGTTAATCTTCAACGAAATTTGGATCATTGAAACTATTCGTAGTGAATGTTGATGATTTTTCGTCCTTTAAATGTATCATTGTTCAAAATAAGTGCACACAAGAGAACTAGAGCATCATTACTTCAACATGAAATATGATGACATACTTAACAACAAATAACATCCATGAGTCAAAACAGAAAATGAATTTGAACAGCATTAAAATAGATAGAAGCATTCTTGACTTACAATTCCTGTTCAAACTTGCTTTATTGTTTCAATTTATCGCATCAGAAGTCGTTTATTTTGCCATTTCTATCTCCTCGAGAGTTAAAACGCGAACACGAATATCACCATCAATATAAGTAATCATTTGTTGTCACATTTTATGTGACCAAAGAACATGTATTAAAGTTCTGCAGAGACTCCAAACAAGAGAGGATGAAACAATGCATTTGGGGATTTGTGAAAACAGAAAAACATATACAGAAACATAAATACTCTGGCAGATTGCAATGTCACTGGTTTCTGTTGGGGTTAATAAGTGCTCACATGTGGAAGCGGATAGAAGAGAAGAAAAATTTGTGCGATGTGAATTGCCATAAAAATAACGAGCAAGAACTACAATACCCAGTGACACAAAGAAATTGCGCAATTTACAAATAGGTTTATGACTGTGGACAATCTTTCGACGTTGTCTCGACAAGGAAGAGAACATTCTTTTTATTGCAAAAAGCTTTTTATTTCTATGCTCAATGTTCATGAATCTGGCTGAAGCTGGAGAAACGAATGGTCGTTTTAATTTAATTTTAAATCCACTTTTTAATGTGTTTATCGCAGCGTGAATGAAACAGTTCTTGAGTAAGACAATATTGTGGTAATGTGGCGGGGAACTATTGATATTGCATTAAACATTTAATTAAGTAAACATCTTTGGGCGAGTGGAGTATTTATTAATAGTTTGTGGCTATTGGTTTTATATAAATTTTACACCTCAATTCAATACTTACAAAACATTTCGAAACAATTTTAAATGAGATTTGATCAAGAAAATCGAATTCATGATTAAATCATACAATTTAGACTCGATCGATAATAAACATCTTGACAGTATTTCAAATAATCAGATGAATAATCATTAACTATATTCATTCAACGAACTAATCAATCAATCATTTCATTCAAACGAACACTAAAACTTTCGACTTGGAATAAATTTTATTTTTTTGAGGGAATTTTTCTCTAGATATCAAAAAAGCATTAAGCAAGTTTTTGTTTTCTTTTAATTGACCTGTCAATAACAGAACCAATTAAAAATGAGACAACATTACTTATTTTCTTATGAAAATTGGCTGTCGACTGGGGAGTTTCATGGAACTCATTAGGCTTTCTATATAATTTGTCTTTGTTATCTCAAACTTAAGTTAGATTCATTCACAAAACTTTCTTTCATTCGTAGTCGAAGAAAAGATTCTTTTTTACCATCAACAGTGCCGTGTCTGAACTGCTGTGAATTTCTGTTTTCTCTCAATTTATTCCTTCTTAAGTCCATCTTGCTCTCTTACTATGATGAATTCTTTTTTAATTCCACTTTCTTTTTCTTCTCCAAATTACAGGAAAATTGGATTTTCATGAATTCATACCTGGTGAGTATTTGAAAGATTAAATTGATTTTTTTTATCTCCACGGGAAAAGTGCTTGATGATAAATGATTTAATTACCCAGTCGGTATAAATTTACTTCATCCCGTCTCGAATTATTACTTAAAACACGAATCTTCACTCTAAGATTCTTCATGATTGAACACATGAATCAAAAGACTTAAAGAAAAGTTTTTGTTTCCCTTAATTTAAAATTCTAATGAATTCAAGCCTCCTGAAAATTAGTCTTGCTTGTAATAAATTTGAACGAAGTTAGCTAGTTATGAAGAGAAAATTCTTGTCGCTTAGTGTCACAGATTGAATGTAAGCACGAGTCAATTCAATATTGATAATTCCGTCATTTGGTGTGAACATTCTTGCTACAACACTGAACGAAAAAAAATTAATAATTGATGTCGAGTGTTCATTCGGGCACCTTCCGCTTCATTCAAAATTGTCGTAATACTTTCCGTTCAGTGTCGTTTCACAATTTCCAATTTAAGCCTCTAGGGAATATCATCGATTTTGTGTTTACGACTCAATGTGGCGAAGCTTCTTTTTTTTTTTTGTTTGAAAACTCGATATTGTCAACGATATTCCCTCCATCCTCAACAACATTGACACCCCTCACACCAGAAGTCAGTTGTCAAATTTAATAAATAAACATTACCAAGTACGGAACGAGAAAATGAAGAAAGACTGTTATGAAAATAAGAGGGATTGCTTTAAGCGTCAAGTTATTGATTTTCACTAAAAATTATTCTCTTTCGTCTTCTGTTTTTCTTTTCTTCACCTTATTTTCTCGTCATCTTCCATTGCTTCGCTGTTTATGTACAAATCATAAAATTTATATGTGTCGATAGCAAGTGAGCTTTAAAGAAAAGCTCAATATGATATTTTATGTTTATTTTAACTTAGAAGATTTCTCGTCATGTGAAAGATTTGCTTTTGAAGTTTATGTCTAGCAACAAAAAAGTTTCGTTTCTGTACATATTTATTAAGGTTTACTTTTTATAAAAAAAAAGGTAATGAAGCCTATTGACTGTGGGATCAACTTCTTTTCTGTAACTGAATTCTAAGCCTCTTGTTATTAAAGCTTCGACTTTAAAGTCGAATCTTTTATTTCTCTTTTCTGAGACCTAGCAAGAGCTTAACGAGATTGAGTCTTCAGTTTGTCGAAAGAAAACTGACACAGTAGCTCAACCCTGTCAGCTATAAAAATATCTTCCATAGATATTAAATTTAAGCTAAGGATTTGATTTGTTAGCTTCTTCGGGCAGTTTGTCTTACAAGCTGATTTATGTGTTATTTGAAATTGAAATTTTTTAAAGTAATAGCAATTTCAGAGTGACGCTCAAGGAGATTTTTCTTTTAATAAAAAACTTCAAAGAAATATGACGACTCTTGTGAAATATACAATCTTAAGAAAAAGGTTTAGACTGTTGGAAAATTTAATTTTAAAGTTGTCAGTTGATTGAAAAGTTGATTATTTGGTACAAAAGAATCTTATTCAGATTCTATCAGGTTCTAAACGGCGAGCTTGATGGAATTTAAAAGTCCAACTTGATATCATCTCTTAGAAGGATTCAAAAAGGTTTTCCCATGTAAATGTTCGCAAGTTAAATTTAAATTCATATCCGATGCTCCCCAAAAGAAAAGAATAAAAATCTCAACAAAGGTTTAACTTGAAGGAGCCTATGAATAAAGTTTTAATTCTACTTTTAAATCATTTCGATTTTTTATTTTCTTTTTTTTAGAACAAAAAAGGTTCAAGTAGAGTCGGGAAAAGAAAGAAAAATTTTGTTGATCCATAAAAGTCGGAGGAAAACCGCTTGAAAAGGAAAACAGTTCGTTTTTTGCTTTCTTTTTTGATCATTTTGCGTTGGAAAAGTTTCCCATTCTTATTTTTTCTCATCAACACTCGGCACAGATTTTATTTTTATTTCAAGGTTTTTTTTCCACTTACTTTTTCCAAGACCAACTTTTCAACATTTTTTCTTCATGTTTTTTTTTCGATTTAAGTAAGAAAATATTTTCAATTTGTATGAAGATATCACTGGTAATCTTAACTGAAAACTCAGAATGAAGAAAAAGTTTTCTCTTCTTATTTAGCGCACCTCGGCTTGACTCGTCTTTGTCCCTAAATTTATTTATTAATGTGACAAACTTCAAAGCAAAGATTAGCTTTTAAAAGATCTGGTCAAGATGATGATGTTTGAAGTTAAACAGGAACATCAGAGAAAATTCAATATTCCTCGATCCCAAAGCCATAATTACATTAATTTCACATCATAGCAACGGTTCATTAAGATGGATTTGCGGCATTAAACGATTATCATTCTCTACGTCTCTTCTTAGGAATTCTTCCCTCATTATCCTCGCTTTGAAAAGGAATTCGACGAAATAAACATTTTAATTCCAGTGAAATGGCATTGAGTGGAAAAAGCCAAAGAAAAGAAGCTTTAGAGCCAGGCTCGTAAAGAAAATAAAAATAAAAGACTCTTAAGTCCTTGAAAACTAAATGAAAAATAAATATTTTCAAAGTGTGATTAAATTTTAGTTTATTAGATTTTTGTAAAGATTTCAAGAAAAAGAATTTTCTTTAATGGAAGTTTAAACATTCTTCATTGACTCACATCAAAGCTTCCTTCTAAACAGTTGATTGTACATATTTTTAATTTAGTTTCATCTTTCGTCCTTACTCCTTCTATTTTTAATATCTGTAAAGAAGACCCAAACGTTCTGCTTGCTTACCCACATTGTTAAGAATTTGTAGATTATTTGTCGTTTCTAATCAGCTTCAGGGCAAGTTCTGTCCATTACTCTGTTACTAAAATGTTTACTTTTCCTTTCTCTTTAGTACTCATGTTGACTTTATGATGAACAGAATTCTCATAAAAATTAATTAATTAATGGCAGAATCTTTCCCCATTTTAGATGAGAACAAAATAGATAAATTTCCATGCAGATATTTATGACTCCGAAAAATGTTTGCTTTCATTCAATTTATTCTGCCTCTGTTGTTTTGTTTATGTAGTTGTTGAGAGAGATGAAAATTAGCTTACAGATTATTTACTTAATATTATAAATGAGACTTTAAACTGTTTAACTTTGAAGATTTAAACGAAAACTTTGATAATTTGTGTAAAGGTTTTCGCACTCATGACATGTATTTGAGTTGCCAAAAGCACTTTTCTGTTTTCATCAAACTTTCTTGTTAAATATTTTTCTTTCACAAACATAATGTTATGTCTAATATTTCACTCATTTGATGATAATTTAAACAACAATTTATGTCTTGAAATATTCGAAAAACGTGTTAAAGTTAAACACAATTCAAGCTTCAACATTTTAGGGAAGAATGAGTGAAAACCAACTTAAAAATGGTAACAAAGTTTTCAACTGTAGATAGTAATATTAATAAAATTACAAACTTTGAACGCTCTCTCCCTCGTTAGTTCATTTTTCGGATTATTGTGCCATCGAATGAATAAAACTTTCAACGATTACTGATATTCATTTGCTCACTCACCCTTAACTTTCTCACTTAAATTCATCTTTCTTCTTTTCCTGCTAAATATCTACATGAAGGGAAAAACTTCCATCTCAATGTTAAATTTGTGAACACGGAAAGAACATTGAAGAATCCTTTAAAGTCTTTATGTCTACTTTTTGATGGTGAAACTTGAGTTAACTTAAGAGGAATTTTTCGACGAAGCTTATACGAAAATGAATAAAAAAAAATTGCAATACTTACGCAAAGATGTGAAAAGAATTTTCGTAACGGGGCATAGTCAAAAAGTAGAAATCGCATCAAGCCAAATGAGTCAGAAGTAATGTAATAGTCGAAAGCTTTGAATGTCTCCTTCATTCCTATTTCGATCGATGTCAGAGTCGGCTTAATTCAATTTCACCAGAAAATGCTTGCGGGTTGAAATGAAATTCTCATCTCTAACGCTCTTCAATTTCATGGAAAATGGGAGTTGAAATGAGAAACGAGAAGAAAAAAAAAGAAGGTTTTGACCTACAAATGATAGAATCATTAGGCCATAAACAAGAAAAGGTTTTTGGCAAAAGAAAGTTTCTTTTTGATAAAGTTTTCATAGAAATCGAGCATTGATCGATCGAGTCTAGTCAAGTAGTTAACTAAAAAAAAAGATTAAAAATTGAGCTAATTCCGTCTGAAGCCTTTTTTTTATCTTTTAGAAATTACATAGAATTGAATTAACTAAATAATAAAATTTAAAGTTTATCAGGGCTTTGAAAGTGTTACGAAACTAATTTAAGGTAAATGATCTTAAATCCTTATGATGTTAACTAAAGTTCTTTCCAACTTTCGTTCTATTCAACCCAACTCCAAGCCCTGATTATAATCTTCTGTTTTTGTTTCTCAAACTTATCAAAAATTCATACGAACAAAACGAAAAAATGATGTCACTAACATTTTCAATTAAGCTGATTAGGTTTTATTACATTCATGAGCCTTTCCTTTATTTAATGATACGACGAAATACCTTTATTGTTGTTTACAAAAAAAGAATCTCATGGGAGAGTTAACATCGTTGAATATTTTACTTGTACTTGAAATTGTTATAAGATGACACAAATCCTTTCCAAATCCTGATTATTTCTCTTGTTATGTCGATAGTTGCTACCGTACTTTTCATCCATTCTCTCGAGTTTGTAAGGATCATAACTTTTAGCTTTACCGAATGAACTTCCCTCAACTGGTCGAGCTTTAAATCTTTTAAGATTTTCACGAACTAAATAATCGTCAATGTCTTTTAAAACCACTCCATAATAGAAGTCAAAAAGATCTTGGTGATGTTGAATGATGGTGTGCAATGTCGGTAGGTCGTCGTGGTAAAATGCAAGAATGTATGGCACACATGCTATTAGCTCTGCGTCCCATAAATCTTCTGGAAAATCGAAAACATGCTGCATAATCGGATTTAAGTTTTCAATCTTTCTTTTATAAACTGTTACAATCTTCTTAAACTTAAACATCTTTTCAGCTTGTTTCCTTCGATATGGTTTACAGTCATTGTCATTTATGTGATTTAGTGTGTAGTGGAGAATTCTGTGTGCAAGTGTTGCTGAAATTGCTGCAACGTTTCTAGGTCCATAGATGAATATTGTTCCAGTTAACTCGTTAACGTTACAACTGCTCAACTCGTCATTTTCTTGATCGAAGAGATAATAAATCTCCAAATTTCTGATTTCCTTAGTTATTTTGAGCAATGGCCTTAGAGAGACATTTTCATCTAACTTCGCATAAATTTCTTTCAATGCTTCAGTATCGAAACTTGTTCTTTTGAAATAGGGATCAATTTTTGATATTGATAAAATATATTCAACCCTCGTGCTTACATAAAACGTGGGCTTCTTCAATTTGTAATCAGATTGAGGTTCGAGAGAGACGCCTGAATCGTTATCAAAGGTGTGATGATGATCAACACCTGATTGAAGAACTTTTGATGTTTCACGATGCGCGTCTAGCAACTTCACGATGTCAAAATGATTAAGATTCATCGCAAAATCTCTCGGTCGTTCACCATTCATGTTGCTTATCTTTTGGCTTGGTTTAAAATCCAGCAAAACTTTTATCAGTTCAATGTTTCTTCTTTGTATTGCCAAGTGTAGCGGAGTGTTAAAATTACGATTTGCATCTTGAAAGTTAATGTCAGCACCCGTAGTCAGTAACTTGACGACTTCTGCTTTATTATAACTTTGACTTGTGCTAGCACTGATAACCATGGAAAGTTCAACACTCAAGTTCATATCGGGGTTAGCCATTGTGCTTCTAAAACATGAGAAAAGTTACGACATGAATAGAAAATTATTTGGAATATTGAAATTTGAGATGATTGAAAGTTCGATTGCAATTTTATTCTGTTTCATTTTATCGTTCACAAGTTGAATTATCTTATCAAGCGTATTATTTGCTTTGATCTTTTTTCAAAAAGAATTACAATTGCGACAAATGAAATCATTATCGAAATTAAAAGTCGATCAATAACTTTCTTCCACTCGATTACACTCACTCGATGTCGAAACGATTACCTTGTGCTTATGTTCTTGCAAAATTGAAAATTTCTTGTATTCTTTTCGTATAATTTAGAATAGAAATAAATCGATTCAATGACAAGCAACGACTGAACGAATGAAGATTATGAACCTTAGCAAAAGCGTTGTAAAATATCTGAAAATAACTTGATAAGATAAGATATCAAAGTGCTTGAATGTCAAGGGGAATGTTGTGCTGCTTTACTTTTTGCAAAGTGGAATTAGAAACGAATGAAATCGTACTTAATGTTAAGACAAACATTTCGCAATGAAATGCGTCTTTACGTAAATATCTTAAGAGAGCATTAACAATGCTTTCCGAATGAAGAGTATTTTTATTTTACTTACTGTTGTTTGCAAGAAATCTCTCTTCTTATGTCTGTTTATGCCAAATGAAACAAGAAAATCTCCAAAACAGAAAAATTCTCATGAAAAGCCCCCAAAGGCTCATAAAATATTACCTCGAACCCATATCATACATTCATAAATAAGTGCGAGGCGAGCAAAATTCTCAGATTTTCTTCATTCGCAAACAAAAATGTTCCAAAGCTGTTGTCATGAGGATGTGTGGTGGTTAAAATGAAGCAGAAATATTTTTGGAGATTAACTTTGATGACAGTTTTCACATTTAATTCATCCTTTCTCAATTCTATAAAATATCATAAACTTGATTATGGGTTTTACTTATGACAAAGCATACATTTCTACAAAATAAACTTTTCTTTTGAATGTTGAAAACAAAAGTTCCAACACTGGTATAGTCATCATCTTACTTTTGTTTGACACTCTTGACAAATGCCTCCCGAAGGAAAATTCCTTCAGAAATATTTTCTGCTAATTGGTAAAGATTTTAGTCTCGTTCCTTTCTTCATTCACTTCTTCTATTCATACACAAATGAAAATCTAATAAAAAACTTTTTCAATCAAGTCCTAAGGATAAATTAATAAGCGTGTCTAGATGATTAAATGATCATGGCATTCCTTGAATTTCAATTATTTTCATAATGTTTTGATAGAAAAGCCCAACATTTATTTATGTTGAATTCTTCAGAAATACTTCGGAGGGAGATGACGGAATTCTCAATTGCTTTACATTATAAAGTTTCAAATCATGATTACTGTTATAAAGCCTTTATAATTCTACAGCTTTATCGACACGATCTTTTGATGGTTTGTGATTACCAGTGAGCAACATTCTCGCTATTACTTTCAATGGTATTTTATGGCAAAAATTATATACATTGTGCCACTACAAAGCTGAGACATATTACATTACTAGAGCGTAAATGAATTTTACGAGACACAGCGACATTTTCTGCGGAATTTCTTTTCCTCTTTTTACAGTCCCAACATAAAGTTTTGCGGGTGAATCTTTATGCTTCCATTCCTTCATTGCGAGGCTGGCTGTTAAGTTGGTGAACCATATTTTTTCATAAATAAAAAGCAATTGTCATAAATCTAGTTGAAATTCTTTATGGTACTTCTGTTGCAAAAACTGTAAATAAGTAGGAGGCGATCAAAGTGGGACGATAAAAAACACACAAATTTTGACCATAAATGGTTTTATGTTGCATTTTCGTCTTATTTATTTATCGTCATTATTTAAAATCAATGATTATCGGTACGTGCTTCATTGTGTAGTGATTCAGATCAAGTTGACTTTCTTTCCCAATTAATACTGCCCATTGCCACCCACCTACGATTTAGCAATTTATTTAGAAAATAAGCAACGAAATTGTGATAATTATAGCGGAAAATAACGAGAAACGAAGTTTTTTTATCTTATAAAAACCAGAAAGAGGCAAGAAAAGCGTCATTAAAATGATGGGTATGAAAATTTTAACATAATTCCATCGTAAAATTACCATACTTTTAACTGCCATACTTTACTTGGAGGAAGGGAACAAAAGAAATGAAATAACAACTCACAAAATAAACAGTTTTAATCACATTTTATGTAAAAGGACATTAATTGAATTTATTGCTTCGGTCGACTGTTTTTTTTTTGCTTTTTTGTTAATGCAAATATTTAATGATTACGAATTGATATTGTTTTTGGTTCTTTAATTTATGTAGAAGAGATTTAGTTAATGTAATGGTCTGATTGATCTCATTGAAGAAATTCATTTGAATGCTGTTTCGTTTGTAGGGTGTGGAATTGACGCAGTTAATTAATTAATTTTTATTTGTCGAGATTTTAAGTTTAGTATCTCATTTGGAAACTTGTTAATTAAACAATAAATGCTTGAAAGTTTCTTGCTTTCTGATAATTTAGTATAATTTGAAATTAAATATTGAAAAGTTACTGGAAAAGGGACATTGTTGTCATTCAAACGTCGTTCAAAACTAGCTAACTAATCAACAAATGTTGTGCCTAGAAAGCGAACCAAATTTCAGTTTAAATTTTTAATGAAGTGATCAACAAGCGGCTTTTTACATTGAAGCGACCTATAAATTGTGAACCTTAATGGAATTGTATGTAAAACAATACAAAGTATTCAAAAATATATTTTCTTTTAACTTTTATATAATAATAATTGTTTATTTGTGATGTAATTGAAGTTGAGATAATTCTAATTTTTGTTTTTGAAAACATGCTTCCAATGTTTATCTTAGGGAAGATGAGAAAAATGACAATAACAAGACACCGACTTTGAAAAGATGTCAGAAACACAAACAACTCTAAATATTCTATTTCAGTCTCATAATATAATTTGCAAACTGATCCTTCTGTCATTAAAAATTTTGGATTAGGAAAATATTCAATTACGGTTGTAACGAGCCTGCAAACCTGAAATTCGCGATTTTAATTTCTTTTAACGATCCGGAATTTCCAAGGAAGAGCTAAATTGCTCTCGAGCGTTTTATGAGCATGAAAACCGTAAAGAATTGTGTATGAATAAAAAATGTAATAATAAAGTGATCATAAACTTTATTTTTTTCCAAAGGAATTCATTGGTTAAGAAACAAGAATGCTTAGTTGAAAAGAATTTTAATGTGATTTGCTCGACTAAAAAGACTTTTTACGATTACAAGCGGAAGCTTAATGAGCGAAAGCGTTTTAATATTTAATGCTTTTGACATTCGTGATGCATTTTTGTAAAGTGTGGAAATCTGGTTCTTCAGTGAGAAGATAGAACCAGCGACGACTATGGTTAATGTCTCAATAAATCTAAAACTTTATCACGAAAAGTATTTGCACGTGAGGTGTTTATATTAATGTTGACAAAATCATAAATTTTATTGCGAGTCATGTTCAAAATTTAATCAAATTAATAATTTCTCTGAACCTCTGACGCTCGCTGATACCTTTGACCAGCAATTTTAATAACAAAAAATCATTAAAAGATTAGCTTTGGTTATTAATAAGCGAACAAAAAATTCATTAATTATTTATTTCACATCGTATATACACGTCAGTCATAATTTCCATGGTAATTGCTTTAATAAATTTCAACTCCCACGCCTTTATCCATGTCTGAAATATCAAAATTGCAAGCTTTAACATCGCCTTTCTTCAAATGAAATGACAGAGCAATTTCAAAATGCTCAAGAAAGATTACAAAGAGCTTTCGAGAAATGTACAATAAAATTGCATTTTAATGAGATGAAACTTCCTTTTCAAAAGAATTTAAACTTCCATAACGAACGAGCCTTGTTCTTTCTGTTGTTTCTTGTTTCTACTTACGAAGAATGTTTCCGATTTTCGGAAGCATAATTATGCAGCACTTTGAATTCCTTGCACAGAGAGAAATCATATTCATGCATTAAATCAGAATTCAAATATATTATGCATACATATTGCGATCCAGGAAACATTACACTCGCTAGAATGCGCTAAGCATGAACTGACCATACCAAAGTTAAACAAAAGTGCTTGCATTTATAACTTAATAAATATGAACTTTGAAAAGGAGACGTTTGCAGAACCAACCAAGTAAACACAAGATTATTATTATTCAAGTAGGTATCTAAAATCGTAGTCTCGATAAGAATTAAGTTCAGTCAACTTCTAAGAAAGTTTTTAGTTCCAAACATAAACAAATTTTCACTCTGTTGTAGGGCAAGGTTTATTTATGAAAACAATTCATATATCTACGAAAATTGATTTTCTTTAGTTTCCTCAACCTGACACAAGATAAATGTGAAAGGAAGAATGCTTGGTTAAGCCTTCGTACTCTAAAAATCAGCAAAACAAGCTCGAAAAAGCTTTCTTTGTTTTAAAAACTTTTGTTCCAAACCTCATATTTCTTAATTCGAATAGGTATTTGTATAACAAAAGTTTCTTCTCCAACTACAAATGTTAACAAGATTATTGCTTGGGATGTTTTGTTTACATTCCAAATTTTGCTGAGGTTCGAAAAAGGAATATTTATTTAATATCATTTGCTACAATTTCAAAAAAAAGAAACTTTTGAATTTTGTGTTTAACATTCGAAAGGAAATAATTCAAGTCTGGTAGATTTTTCAATTAAATTCTCTAAGAGAGACTAAAATAAGAAATTTTCTGACCTTTATTAGGTTTCTATTCTACTGTTTGTGTTACGCATGTAAATAAGTTTCAATTTTCATTGCCTTTCATGTAAAAGCAATTTATTTCTTTCCACATTGATAGCACGCATCAGCAGATAATTCTTTTAACAATTTTCTCCGTCTTCCAGATTTAGTGACGTGTGTGTGTAAAGGAAGAAGAAAATTATTGATTTCCTGCTATTGAGATGAGGGAAAGAGGCTCAAGAGAGAAAGAAGCCAATGAAAAAGATAAACATCATGCAAATCCCCATATTTATTTTTATGTCTGGCACCTGCCGAAACTTTATTATTTTCTTCTTTCACTTTTTTTTTGCTTTATCTTACAAATGGAAATTTACAGCCTCTTCTTTTCTTTATTGTTAGCTTTAGCTTTCACCGATGAATTCATGCTTTTTCCGCTTATTCAGCTCACATACTCTCCGGGCGAAGTCATTCAAAAAAAATAAAAGCTCTATGCATGATGATCTTTCCAACGCTTCTCTCAACGCGCGTCAGCATACAATGAAAATTTGCTCACGCACTTTTCATTCGGTTTTTTAAATGTTTCTCATCCCTTTTCACTCTGTCGCCTGTTCTCTGACTTCCCCTTTCAGTGATGACGATAAAGAATAAAAAGAATTTGTTTAATGCAAATGAAAATCTTCTCAAGCTCGTATTTAAATCTAGGGTTGACGATGATGAAGCCTTCTAATGGTGTTCGAGCTTTCACCACTTATCGTTCTACCAAGCTGTTTTTCATTATCTCGAAATTGTCATCAGCACACTTCAAGAACCCTTGCGAAATTAGATGCAAAATTATTATTGCGATTTTCCTTCCGTTTCCTCCATCTACAAAGATTTCGAAACATAAACATTAACTCAGAGAAGCAAATTAAAGCGAAAAAGTTCTATCTTAAAAAAGGAGAAGGATTCGGCATGGAGTTAAATAACTCAGTGGGGGGTTTTAAATGACCTTCACAAACTGCTACAGTAAATGAACAGTGACTATAATTTATAGTCCAACATGCTTTTCACAGCTTCACCAGTAAAACTAACAACAAGAAAAAAAAAATCCGGATGGAATTTCTTCCACCCAACCCCAATGACATTGAAACATTTGTACGAGGAAGAACTTCTAAAATCGTATGAAAACTAGCGGAAATGTTTTATATGAAGTCAAGAGTAAAATTAACATTTTTTTTCCTGCTTCCGATGTTCTATCTCGTCTTACTCATCCACTCCGTCCAAGCTCCTTGACTTTCGGAGTATTAAATCCGAGGAATGAGCAAACAAAGTTAAGCTCTGAGCAAGTCACCATGGAGAAATTTATGATAGAGCTGCTTAATGCTTCAGCACTCTTTTAGGTTGGAAGATTATGGTAATGTTATGCAATGCTATTCGGGAATGTGCACTTGTCGGAAATAGATGGGAATACATAAATACTTTTCAGGATAGAAGAATTGTTTTACTAGCAATCGAAGGAATTCGAATTTCTCTCTCTTTTCGTTTCATTTAAGAAGAAAAGGTATTGAATAAGACGACATATTTCAAATATGTGTATTCAAAAATGTCGGCATGAGCAACGTTTCGGAGAAGGAAAATTTCTTCGTGTGCTGAATTCAACAAAAGAATATTTTGGTATAATACGACCATTACATTTTATATTAACAATAAAAAGTCGTCGTTCACTCTTAGCAGAAATGAGATAAGAGTCAAATCGTCATGAAAATAAACTTTCTTCTTCTTTTTTTTTCATGCTAGTCATTTTCATTTTGGGTTTATTTCAAAAGAAATGTAATGGAATGAAAAACACGTTTAGCAGATATCCAAACTATTCGATGCGGAAGAAAAAGGAGAAAATGTTTTATTTAAAATTTTTCATTTTGTATCATGAAAGTTTCTAACAAATGACGTAATTTATGATGGTTCATTTTAATTCCGATTCTCATTTCCCGCTCAGCATTTCCAATTCTTCTTTTCCGTTGTAAATTCATATTTTTTTTCGGCGCTCCAATGTCACGACAATCCGTAATGAAGTCTCTGAGAAGCGATAACGATAAAATCGCGAGCTCATATTAGTTATCATAATATTTAATTTAATGCCTTTTCTTCTTTGTCACAAAGCTGTAGTTAAGTTAAACCCAAAAAACCTCCCGTTTCCTGTCGTCTCTCATTGTTCCCACGACGAACATTTTTTTTTTGCCAGACTCATGCGAAAAAAAGAGAAAAAATGGGAAAAGAATTGTGCCATGAAAATGTAAAACGCGTAGATAAAGTTATGCGAAGAAAATTGCATTTTCACTTCGTTTTATTGTTAGCCTTATACAGCGTTATTACGCCATTACATTACTTCTGTTCTATCTTGCTGTCGCTCGCGTAATGGAAATTTATGCTTTTTGAAACTTTTCTGTCGCAGCATTGTGTAGTCATGTCATAAAATAATCTTTTTCACTACGTTTCTCTGCTTTGTTTTGCTGATAAAGTTAACTCATACATATAAGTAATAGAATTCACGAGCTTCAAGGAATATTAGCTTTTGTTGATAGAGAAATTTGATGCAATCAACATCATGTGTGATATCCTTATAGACAAAACTGAATGTTTATTCAAGCAGCATCGAATCTCTCGAATTTATTTTCTATTTTTCTTGACGTCGTTCTTGTATTTTTTATATTTTCCTTCAAGGCAGTTAACAAAATTTTTAGAACAGACCACAATGTTTGCCATCTTTGTCTTTAAATTATAAATCTGACTCTTTATAAAGTTTCATATGAAGTGTTCGTTTAGTCTGATGTTGACAATCCCACTGATATTGCTGTAACAAGGGCAATTTTCATCGAGATAACATAGAGACGATTGTCGTCATCTTCGTTACATGCTTCAAGAGTTTCTCACGTGTTGTAGATTGCTTTCGTTCTGCATAGACTTGTAATACGATGTAGATTGCAAAACATCTTCAAGTGTGAACGATTAGACGAAAAACCTCCTGAGATTCTATGATGGAATTTTTCCATGCTCAAATTGCGTAAACAGAGAAGAATTGGCTTTAATGTTGTTCACTCCTTTTACATGCTTATCGCGTTGAAGTAAAGAATATGGATGAATAGGAGAAAAAATCCTTTATGTGTGTATAGAGGGAAAGAAAATTTCTACTACTTCATTCCCATTGAGATGTGTTCAATTCTTTTGTGGCATAAGAAGCAGAGAATTCTCCTACTCTTGTAGCAACAAATATGATTACGCGTAGGTATAAGAATACACGATGGAAACGAAAAAAGAAAAAGGAATCAACACACAAATAAGGTTTCTTCTTTTTTTTCTCTTCAATTTCTCCACCCCCGCATGTTCACAAAAATATAAATAAATAAATTGCTTATAAATTTAAATAAATTCATTTGCCGGAATGATAGGTAGAAGGAGAACTTATGTAACGTTTTTAACATACAAATTATGTGTTTTACATTACAAGAGAGGATAGAATTTAATGTTGCTAATTCATGTCGTAGATATTTGTTATTTTCCGGAAAAAATCTCTTGATGTGATTTCTTCTTCAATCTTCAGTCTTCAGTAAAATAAAGTTAGGTTCAAAGCTCCACGATGTTTCTGTATGTAAATGATAATTTAATATAGAAACAGCACCCAAAAAGACGAAATCTTATCGAACGTGGAAAATGATAATTTGCTGGGAAAAGCTCGTACGCATGGAAAATTGATCAAACCATATGAACGCACCATATTTGCAAAACGAAGATTCTATCATTTCATCTCATCCTTTTATACAGCACATGTAACCAAAATCTCAATGTATTATGAATAAATAAACGGTTAATGAAGACCTTTATACATCTTCGAATTGTTAACGTTACGCTCACGCTTTATACATATCGTATTTTATTTATCTTAAGCAAAATGAGACAACGAGTAAATGTTGATGGTTTGAATTTCATCGACACACGTTTAGGGCTTTTGGAAGGCGAACCGTAAAGACCACAACCAGTCTTGAATCAATATGAAATACTGTAACATGAATAAAGCTGAAAATCTCACACAACTTTTTTTTTAAAAGACTTTAAGGTTGCCCCAGGAATACGAAATTATTGCCATGACGATGACGAAGCGTACGTAAACGCATGAATGTTAGAATAAGCATCTTTAATTATCAATTACAAGGGCTTTCATCTCTTTTTCGACATCGTAATGAAATTCTTATACTTTTATGAACTTAGGAAAGAAAAAGTTTTAATCGTTTCTTCGGAGTTTGTCGGTATGCCGATAATTCTTGTGATGTCTTAATTATTTCTTTTTTCTATTTAGATAGATTTCTTTTAAAAAGAAATTTAAGGCTTAGAACTTTTAAGAGTCTTATCGTGTACCTTTAAGTAGGTCGAAACGTAATCAAACTCAATTATGCTTCATCGAGATATTTATAAAAGAAGTGAATAAAAAACTGTCTTTAAGCAAAATATAATCAAAGGATTAGAAACAAACAAATAATTGAAATTCTTTAATGCGATTAAATATAATACTTATTTTCTGATGTTTAAAAGAAGTTCAACCGTGAAATCCAAATTTATTTATGTAGTGACATATTAAAGATTTTCAAAATTTTTCATTCCAACAGAGCTATGATAATTCATGAACTTCAAACATATAAACTAAGTAAAAGTTTAGCAATTAAGAACTTCAACTTTTACTTACTCGGAAAATTCTTCAAGAGGTGTTCTTTACTTTCTTTGAATCATAAACTGTGTCGTTGACATAAAAGCAAATTTTAAATTCCTTTAAGTTAGAGAAGCTTTTGAAACTTTTTATGCAACTTTAATGCTTCTTTGAAACAATACGTAAGAAGATATAAGGAAAGCTTTCAGAAGTTATCACCCTTTCCTTTTAACTGAATGATCCTTTTCTGACATGCTTATATTTATGATTTTCAATGATTAATTAACGTTGAACTTTTCCCTGCAAAGCTTTACAAATTATAAATGAACATCGTCAGAAGAACATTTAAGGCCATAAAAAAAACTTTTCAATTTTAATTTTTCGGCTTTTTTCTCATTGCCACCAACAGCAATTTATTTCTATCTTTGAAGCGACAGTGACTAATTCCTCTTTTGTTATTTTCACTTCCTTTTTACAACCGTTATCGTCTCAAAAATTGAAGTTGTTGACGCTGAATTTGTAGGTCAGTGGGAAAGCTGACAGATTTTTTTGCTGTGACTCTTTTGATGGAAAGGGTTCAGTCTTTGCTTAATGGTGAATGAGTTGAAAAAAAGCGAATTGTTCTTCCTTCCTTTCTTAAAAGAAATTTGAGTCAATTTATTTTCAATAGAAACAAAAAAGCGTCGAAAATAAATTTCATTCGAAGACGGGGTAAACTATTGATTAATGTAACTTGTAGAATACTTTAAGGTTGCTTGCTTGCCGATCCCTTAATGGCATCTTAAGCCATCTTTGAATTTTTAGAGAAAGCACAAAAAACCTCATCAATCAAATAACACTGCAAATCATCTCTTATCTGGGCAAAGGGGAATTTCTTGTTGAATAAATTTTAAAAGCAAACGAAGATCGGTTGAGCCAATGGAGAATTTATGTTACACAAACATCCGGCTCTTGCATCATTATGATAATCTCACTTTCACATATATTTTCAGACATTACTGCCTCAATTTCAGACGACGAAATTACAAAGATATTTCGTCGTCGTAAACTATTTGTAACTATCTTCAAAATTCTTGTGGTGAATCTGAGAAATTCTGTGAAAAGTTTTTCCCCATCCCTTGAATATTGTTTTCTTGACGATAACGAAATGAAACATGAATAAATTAAGATGGAATATCGTAATTCTGAGCGTGTAATTAAATTAAATCTTCAAATTATTTGTTAAGAGATCTTCCAAACTTCAACCACATTACATGTTTCCATGACTAACTGAAATTTGAAGAATGAATGATATTTCAACTAAGTTTGACATATTTTCAGAACATTTTATTTAATTTATGCTGCGAAAATAAACATAAAATGTTTTACTACTTTTACTTAACAACTGTGCAGCTCGTTGCCTCAGTTTATTATGTTAATGTTGCCTTTCAGGAATTTATTCACAAAGAATTTTTCCATTTCGCAATCATTCAATTCTTATACAGTTACCACTTTCTAAGATCGCAAAAACGATAACTTTTTCTCCTTAAATTACAATCTCGTTTTACTGACAGCAACAACTTAAAAAAAACTTAAATCGGTAATTTTTTTAATGTATCATTTTCAAACTCTCAAGTTGCTAATTTTTCACTTCACTGAACATATTAATTATCGTATTATAAATCCAACTCGATGTGATTCTATTAACTACGACACCATTAAATACTCTGCAGCAATTCAATAAAAAGCGTTTTCCCTTGACGTCAATTTATTTGAAATTATACCAGCAATGAACAGGGAAGACATTTACAAGTACAGGTCATTAAAACTTTTGGAAAGATTTCCCCCATCACGGAACAAGAAAAGCGAAGAAGTGTTTGAATGCCAATTGCGAGCTTTTTAAACAATGCTTTATAATGAAGTGTTGAAAAAAAAACGAATACCAAGGGAGAAAGAAAGCTTTAAAGACAGAAGCCTTCCACTGTTCGTTCCCTCTGAGCCGTTAATGACTTTCGTGATATCATTTTCAATTGTGTTTACATGTTTGTTTGCAGTGATTGCCATCGAAAAAGATTGATGATGAGTTTTTCTTCCATTTGCTTTGATAAGGGGGGAAAGGAAGCGTAAAAGACAACTAATGGATTTCATCTTGAGATTTCTTTTGTGGAAAAAAAGACAAAGTTTGACACTAGACAATTAATGATAGTGGACAGCATGTAACACTTAAACCATCAGTTATGAATGAGAAATTTGGAAAGTTTCTCATCTCATCTCTCAAATGTTTTCCCAACAATACATCGAGAACGATTTGTTGCAAATGTTACTTGCAAATTATGTTAAAATGTGTTCGAACAGAAATTTTATTGGAAATTTTTTACATCAATGTCGCTTTATGTGAAATCTAAATAAATCTTGAAAGATTAAAAGTCTGCATAAATCTCAATAAATATCTCGTTTAATCGGCCTTTAAAAAGGTCTCAAATTCAGCCAATAAGGATATACAGAAAATCATTTTACATCAAATTCGTCTCACGCTGGGCAATGAGAATGATTGAAAGGGAAGAAACAGATGGATATTTGTTGCTTTTTGCCTCTTTTGTGCCCTCTGATCCCGAAAGGTCCTTAATCAAATTTAATGATACAACTTCTACACATCCGATGATTGTGTATGGTGTTTTATGAATTTCTAATTCAAAGGAACAATCTGAAAGAAGTAATGTAACATCTGGTAATATAAAAGTTTACTTTTTCTTTATTCCATGTGCTTTGTGTAGATATATTTAATATGAGAGATTTTTTTTGAGCCTTCCACATTTTTCATTCGAGAAGCATATTTGATGAATCCCAGACAATCAGAATTATATAAAAAAAAAATGGGCACAAAATTTGCTGTTTCTATTTGCGATTGGGAATTTTTTTAACAATTTTTTTCCTGACATTTGAGTTTTTTTTTAAACTCATAAAATATTCAAGCCAATACGTGAACCCAAATATCCATTATTTATTAACCCTGTGTGATGGCGCACAATTATTAGCAAATAAAGAGAGTTGAAGATTTGCACACAAAAATAAATTTCAAAAATAAGGAGAGAAAAAATGAAACCAGAAACCGAAATGATTTATGGATTTGAGCGAAACTTTTTCATACAAACACACACATATTCCTTTTATTAGGGTTAGAAAACTCAGAGCTTTCACAATATAACCCCGTTAAAGATATTTGTAACATATGAGGCAATTTTATAAATTCAATTTTTTTGCTGACTTGTTCACAAATAAAAATAAAATCTATTTGTTCGACGTTGATAGAAGTTCATTAAAATATTTAACGGCTTCAGGTTCTTTTTCAAAATTAAGCCTTTGCGGTTCTAAACGGTTCAAATCGAAGTTCAAAGTTTTGACCTTCATTCTTGACATGTGAGGCGAATTGAGGAATTTGACAACCCGAGTTAAATTCCAGAGATTACTAAGTTTTTAATTTAATATCTTTTTCTCGATCGCATGGTCGCGTTAACAATTTTTTAAATAATTTCATTAATATTCTCATTCCTATTTTTATTTCATTTTGAATATATAAGTCATTAAATATTTTACACTCTCATTGTGAATCTTAGTAGAAAAATTTCATTGAATCAAAAATATCCAAGAAAATTCGTAAAAAATGGAGATTGAACAAAATTTCAACAATTTAAAGCAGTTGAAGCCATTTCGTGGTTTCCCTAAACGACGTAAATCATTTTGAAGCTTTTCAAACATTCCCTAACAAATTATTTTTTTTCTTCCAGGTAAACCATTCTATCAATGCGGCGATGATCAAACCGAAGAATCAACAGGATTTCTTGATGGAAACAACATCCAAATTGGATCTCCAGCACGCTCTTCACCACATTCACAAGGCTCTGACAACGGTGAACGTTTTTCACGAAAAGTTTTTGTTGGCGGCTTGCCACCAGACATTGATGAAGGTGAGTCATCAACTTTTCTTTTTCATACATAATACGACAATAAGAAGAAGAAAAAACTTGTCATGCAGTTTACGCCTACTGAGCGAATTCAACTGACGAAGAAATTTTAAAATTATTTCTTAGCTCTTACACAAGAAGTCTTTTATTATCTCCATTTTGTAATGAAACACCAACAATATAAAAAGGCTTAGAGACCTTAAACACTTAAAGATTTAACTTCACTGAAAAAGATTTAACTTTTATTTCTTAAATTCTTTCTTTGGCATAAAAGAACAAAAGACAACATGCTTGTAAAATTGTCACGAATAACTTAGTACTGATAATTCCGGTAACAATAATCATTAAAAGTTCTTACGATGAACACAAATGCGCATCTCACTTTCCTTGCTTTTATAAGGAAAGAAAGGAAGTGTCAAGCCGTGTTCTCCATGAACATTAAAGTTGATGAATTTTTATGATGATGATCCAAGGCATTAACATAATAAAAAAGGCTTGAGACGTGTTCGCTGCTGTTTCGATGGCTGAGGGGGAAATTTAAACCTCAGCTGTTAAAAAAGTGACTGGAGATAAAATCTCATCACATCTGGACAATGAAGGTGTGACAGTGATTCCTCGTCCAATATTAAGAATTTCCTTTCCGTCCATCGCAGTCTCGTTGATTTTCGTCATCATCCATTTCAACTGTTAAACATTTTCTGGATTAATTTCCTCTGTTGGTTGCGTGATGAAAAGCAAACAACGTCAATTTTACGATGAACATTTCCGAGATGAAAACTCATAAAATGAAATCAAAACATAAACAACACGAACGATAAGAAATATTGCGACCACTAAAGCCCATCGGGCTTCTTCAAATGTTGCTTCCAAAGCCTGACCGTTACCTGATAAATCTCATGTTGATTGCTTGCCCTTCATGCGATGATGAAGATTGGTACTTAAAAATATAACATTGTTCAGTGACTTATCTTCCTCGTGTTCTCATCTAGGGCAATTACAATAAAATCATTGTCAAGTGACAAGATTTATTTAAGTTTGCTTATAGCAAGCGAGCGGAACCATCGAATGCGCCACTTTGCTTGATAAATATTTTCCTGAAGAATTTTTACTGCTTTAACATCCGCTGATGGAATTTATGCTTTATTAACACATGAATCATCAAGAATGTGTATGCTTTTATTCGTATAATTTCACGTTCTTCTTCGATCATAAAATTTAAATATTTTTCACATTGCAAAAGATGAAAATACTTCATTTTCCATTCTTTCTAGTGGCTTTTCCTTTCATTCACTCTCAAGAATTTATTTCTAAATAGAATTATAAACTAAATGAAAATGCTTAGTTTATCATCAGAGAGAACATTTTTTTGATGCTCAAAATAATGTCATTAATTTCTTAAATACAGAAATGATTTTCTCAGTGGTTTGCTTTTCGAAATATTTCTCTTGATTATCATAATGTTAAACAACAAACCATAAAAGACGATTTTATTGCAAAGCTTCCATAATTTATGCTTCGAAATTTTCTCTTATGTATTTCATTAAGAAAAAGAAGAAATTAACAACTTTTGATAATTTGATATTTACATCAAAGCCAAAGGAAAGAAATTTAAGGAATCGAAAAAATTAAATTTTAGAAGAGTTTCCTTTTATAGAGCGTTAGCTGTGTTCTCTTGTGGGTAAAATGACAAGTTTTTAAATCAAAAGAGTCTTTGAAATTAACTTACAAACAAACTTTTTCGTTTTCAGATGAAATAACATCGTCGTTTCGTCGCTATGGCCCATTAATTGTTGATTGGCCACATAAAGCTGAGTCAAAGTCATATTTCCCACCGAAGGGTTATGCTTTCCTGTTGTTCCAGGTAAGTTTTGAAATGCAATTATAGCATTTATTAAATTAACAATCGTAAAGATTAAAGTAACTCCTTCGTTATGAAATATTTCTTCCGCTAGTTTTTATATTTCTATGGCTTTTAAGCTGCATATAGCACCAGACGGGGCAAATTAATTAAAATTCTGAGTAGAATAATTGAAAGAAAAAAGAAATTTATGTAGGAAGCTCGAATTAAAAGCAAAAACAGTTTCTTTCTACTTTTGAATCAACGAGAGAGTAATGAGAATGCAACAAGATGAAAATCTTGTTCGTTTTTTATATTTTTTTGTTTTGGAAAACGTGAAAAATTTACAGAAAGAATTTTCATTCGCCTTTTGCAAAAAATTGTTTTTTTGCTATTCAGTTGGCATGATACTGCTTTCGTTACTGTTAGCTTCTTCTGAGTTTTTAATTATTATTTCCAATTCAGAGAATTTTAAAACTTGGTCATGTTTAATTAAAGTTATTGCAACCTCAAGAAGTAAAAGATCATGAAAAGTTTTCCTCTATCTCTCACTTGTTTTGGAATAGGAAGGGTTGTTCTTTTTCATGTTGTTTTCTATCATAAAACCAATTGCCATATGGCTCACAAAAACTTGTGAAAGAAACTTTTCTTCTTCACGTTTGCAAAATTTAGAATTTTGTTGAAATAACTTAAGAACAAAATGAGTTAGTAACAGGAAGCGCAAGATGTGAATGAAGTAAATTTGTCGACATTTCAAATTTCGAAACGACAATTTTAATTCCATTTTTTAACTTTTTTTGTTCCTAATCTTTATGATCTTATGTTGTTATGTTACTTAGATGGAATTGAATTTTCCCTCCCATTTGTCTTTCTTTAAAAAGTTTATAATCGCTTCATAGTTGAGGTTATCGTTTTTAAAAACTGAAAGAGAAAAACATAAAGCATTGAAAGGAAAACTGTGGAAAAAATGATCCATTATCCTCCTTTCCCTCGTTTTCTCATTCAACTGACTTGCAACTTTTATCCTCTAAGTCAGTGATTCTCAACTTCTGTTTTACGATATGTTTTCGTAATTTTCAATTTGTCGATTTTTCTTCGTCATTTGCTACCACACTTGAATAAACTTTTGAAAAAGATATATTGAGATAAAGTAATTAAAAAGAACTTTTAACAATTTTAAACTTTTTTAATTGTTCCGCTTATGAAAAATTCAAGAATCACTGGCTTAAGCTCACATTATAGAAAAATGTACGCTAGCGCAATTTAGAATGTTAAAAATATAAAAAAGACAAGGAAATGATTGTGTTGCTATCGAAGCTCTTCTATTTATCCATCCGCTTTTACATTTCCTTTCTCGCTTGCTCTTTCTTTCTTTTTCCATCGAATCTCTTCCCTTTTCAAAAATTTTTCGAAAGGAATAATAAAAAAATCTGAAAAAAGTTTTTCATGTCTTGTTTTGCTGTTGCTGCTTTTGGCATATCTTCCGTTCGAGTTATTAGATTTTCACTTGAAACTTTGTCCTTTTTTGTATGCCTCGAGAAAGCAACGAAAACTTTATCGAAGAATTTTTTTTCTTCCTTGAACAAGGATAAAATGTCAAAGGAAAAGCCGAAATATCTCAATTTTCCTTTTTACTTGTCTCGCTGTGGAATCTTTTGCTAAATTAAATGAAAAGTATTCGGAAAATTGTCCGCAGTGTTGATTTGTTTTAGTCAAATGTGAAAATTTCATTTTCTAAATATTGTCAACAAGATTACTCAATTTTTCTCATTTATTCTTTTTGCTGCCTTTGATATTTCTAAAGGATGAAAGTTCAGTTCAGAATTTGATTGAAAATTGCATCATTGAAGATGATAAACTTTACATCTGTGTCTCATCTCCAACTATCAAAAACAAACCAGTACAGATTCGCCCATGGCGTTTGTCTGATGCTGATTTTGTTTTGGATGCTTCAATGTCATTGGATCCACGCAAAACAGTCTTTGTTGGTGGCGTTCCTCGTCCTTTGAAAGCTTGTAAGTTAATTTAAAATTTATTTGATATTTATTATTAATTATTTTCTCTTTAAAAGTGGAACTTGCTATGATCATGGATCGGTTATATGGTGGAGTTTGCTATGCTGGCATTGACACTGATCCAGAATTGAAGTATCCAAAGGTGATTTCAAATTTTATTTCTAATTAACTTTCCAATCTTAAACTGATTTATTTGACATTCCTACAGGGTGCCGGACGTGTAGCATTTTCAAACCAACAAAGTTACATTGCAGCTATTTCTGCACGATTTGTTCAATTACAACACGGTGACATTGACAAACGTGTCGAAGTCAAGCCGTACGTTCTTGATGATCAAATGTGTGACGAATGTGGTGGACAACGTTGCAGTGGAAAGTTCGCTCCATTCTTTTGTGCTAATGTCACATGTCTTCAAGTATGTTTAAATTTTTCTTTGTTTTAATTAAGCGGAAGATAACAAATAATTAAAATATTTCACAGTATTATTGCGAACATTGCTGGGCTCAAATTCATTCCCGCCCTGGTCGTGAATATCATAAACCATTGGTCAAAGAAGGTGCTGATCGTCCACGTGCTGTTCCCTTTCGTTGGTGTTAAACACATCATGAATCAGTTCAGCATTTCAAATATTGATTGAGGTGTAAGTTTGCATAATGAGAACAAGAATTTTTATCATCTACATCAAGTACTAAAAAACTAAATGAAGAAAAAAAACATCAACAAATCTAGTTAATTTTAATCATCCTTCGCGAAAAGGATGAAAGAAAGATAAAATACTTTATTTTTAAATTTAATTTATAGAAAATGCGTAATAAAAGATACACGATGTGAAAATAAATCGATCTCGCTTGATCGTAAACATAAATAATAAAAAGGCCTGTTCTACTGAGTAGATTCGTCAGCGAACAGGCCTTTTTCTTAATGCATAGAAGAATGATACAAAAAAGAAAGATTTAATTATGTTTACTACCTTGAACTGCTTTTTTCTGTTATTATATCAACATCTAATAAAATGAAAGTTGTGTAATTAAATCTGAGATAAATGTTGGAGAAGGAAAAAATGGAAGAAAAAGAAAACTTTTATTCTCTAAATGTAGGTAAAATTCGTTTCCCATTTTCTACTTTTTATTCACAACCTGTTGTTTCTAAATGATAAACGGTAATGATAATAGTGATTAAGATAAACTGATTATTGCCATTTTTTCTTTCATTCACTGATATATAAAATTGCATTATATTTGATGAAAAATATGAATAAAATGCTTTCAAAGCGCCGGCATCTTGCGAAAATTTAGAATGTAATTTAGGTGGAAAAATCAAGTATCGTAAGCTACTGATGTAAAATATAAAGAAAAATACTGTTTATTTTCGTGGAGCTTTCCAAAGTCCTTTTTAATTGTTTTTCTTGTTCTTAATCGTAGTTAAAAATTACGCCATGTACCTACACAAACTAAACAAAAAAGAAAATTTATCAGTTGACTTTTAATTTGCCTAGCAAACTTTTTCTGCTTTTATAATCACGTTGAGTTTTGTTTTTCTCGTCTCATAATTTTTACCTTCTTTGTTTTCTTTTATCCATCGTATCCGATGAGAAAGAAATAAATCTGATGCTAGTTGATTAATTGTGATATTTTTTAAGACGTTTATAAAGCGATTTTTTGATCTTTTTTTAGTTTCACAATGACATCACTTCCTTTCTTAAAATGGCCCTAAACCTAAACTTCCCATCTTCCTTAAACTTTATATTGATTTTATAACTAGAAGTTAAGAATTTTTTATTAATTTTTTCAGTGTTCTTTTACTTGTTTTATTAATTAATATTTTTGCAATTTTTTTTATACCAAACTTTTTATGATAAAATAAATAATGAATAAATCGAATATAAATCTAGTGTCGGGTTCGTTAGAATAAATTTTATAGACCTAGTGACGCAATTTTGACCTAAGCAAAACTCTTAAAGAGCTGTCATCAAAGTCACGTCATTGGTTTTTATACAAAAATATATTTTTCATCTCGTTACTTGCACTACGAAAAATGTGTAATATTTTTTATTTCATATTTATTAAAATAGAACTAAAATAAAAGAGAAAAAAAGAAATTTGGAAAGTTTCTTCTTGGCTTTCGAATTTAATTTTTTTTCTTGAAGATTAAGAAAAGTTCGCTTCAAGAAAATTGCTTTCACTCTTCGTTTGAAAGTTTTAAAATTAAAAAGAAAACTTATCGCTAACTCACGTTCTGAGAAGCTCGTGGTGATGAACAAAAACTTTCGTATCTTAATTCCTGTATGAAAACATGTTTTTTAAGTTCGAAATCAATTTTAACACCAGAAGTAAAAACAGATTTAAGCGACAAATTCCCATGTGTGCACATCCAAAACAGTTGTTCCAATAAAAAAGGTGAACGGGCAATGAATTTTAATTAAATCAGTATAATTCGATGATCCTGTTTCATTTTTTTTATATTTCATGTTAAACTTATACGAAATAAATCGGCGAGTGGAATGATTTACACTAAAAGTTCTGAACATTTGATCACATAATTTATTTAATTTTTTTCCCATGAAATTGCAGTTTCATGAAGAGATTGATTTTTTAATTCATGTTCAGAATGTGGCTTTAATATAAAATGAATCGTTTGAAACTAAGTGCTTGTGGGTTTCCATCGAATTATCCTGCCACTTAAACTTTCATTTCTCTGTCGTCTTGGCACGGAAAAACGCGATTCATTAAATTGAAAATAAAATTATTAAGAACAATTTTAGTAACAGCATAATTTACAAATTCAAAAAATTAAACAAAAAGTTTATTCTGAGCATTCATTTAACTACATAATTGCTGTTGTGGGAGAACTACATAATATTTTTTATAGTTACATTGTGCAATAAAAACTTTTGCTTTGCGTGCGTTGCTTTCTTCAGAAATATAAAAAAGAAAGAAAGTCTAAAAAAGATTCAGAAGGGGGAAAAAGTCGATAGAATAATGAACTGTGAATGAATCGTTTTGCGGAAGTCAGCCGGGGAAAAGCCGTTTAGGGAAAGGCTGCATAATCCTCCCCCCACAAAATAAAAAAACCATCACTGAGTGAAAATCCGCAAATAAAAATTCATTGCTACCCGAGTGGTTATCTCGAACGTCCCTTAACTAAATATTTAGGAAAAAAAGGGAAAATAATGAGTGAAAATAAAATTAACACTCATATATAATCACATTTATCATTAAAAACATAAAATGAACAGATTCTCATTTTCTACCATTTGCCTAAAAAAGCATATTTCGAAACATAAAAAAAGATGATGAACGAGTCTAACCAAAAGCAAAGTCATGCTCGTTTAATTGTTATGTTACAGTTTCCTTAAATTAGATCCTTTAGAAGGCTAAAGTGATTATCACATTTTATTTTGTTTTAAACTTTTTAATTGTACACTTTTAGAAAAAGAAAACACATTGAGTTCTCAGAACTTTAGAGTCAAAAAGGTTTTGCTACTTACAAGACAATTGTTGGTTGACAACCATTCATAAATATGTTAAGTAGCATCATGTAATAAATGTATGATTTATCATTAATCTCAGTTTTTATTTAGCGATTTTCCTTTTAAGTTTTTCTAGAGCAATAACTAGTGATATTTAGAAATCATAGATTTAATCTGTAGTTAAATTTTCCTAACTTTAAATCTATTTTTAACCCTGTTTGTTGTTCCAAGCTTTCTTAGACAATTCTTGTTTTCTCAAACCTAGTTTTATGGGTTTCTTTTTTCTAAAACAACTGATATAATCGACATAGGTATTTTTATATATTAAATAAAAAATATTAAATCTTAATGGAAAAGCATTGAAAAACAACAAAAAAAAATAGTTTATTTTAGCATAATTATATTCTTAAATGTAAAGGTTCTTTTTGAAACAAAAAAAATTAATCAAATAGATGTATTTTTTCTACTACTGTTTAATCATCAAGAAATCTTACTGAAAATGCATTAAACAAAATCTTAAAGAAATGAGAAATAAAAAACAGTTTGATAATGAAAAGAAGAAGAAAAAAAATATCATATGTTTCACATTGACATACATAAATAAATAAATAAATAATAATAATATGAAAAATTATATTTTCCAATATGACACGATAAAAAAAAGAAAGAAAAAGTAATCAAAGGCTTTGATGGCTTTGTGTATAGTATCGAAATTGTCGCAAAAGAAAAACATGTCTTTGAAATCAAAATGAGCAATAAACGCCTCCTCATCAATATCATCAGAAAACATTTCTCGCCCACTCTCTCTATATTGTATAATTTTTTTTTGTTTTCTCAATTCAGCTTCTCATGTTATTTGTCTTACACATATATAAGAAAAGTATTGATGAAGTTCTAAAACTTGTACTCAAACCATTCATGACACTATAAAGGTCTTTAATACAAGAAACATCATCTATCAGATAAAAAAATTAACTAAAAATATTTAACGAAACCTTTTTAAACTAAATGTGCATTAAACGTTTTTTCTATAGTAATACAGAAACAAGAAAAAAACAAAGACAACAATTCAATAATCAATGAATGTGAAAAATTCTTTTCTCCTGAAAACAAAAACAAAAACCAAAAAAAAACTTCTCTGATATAAAAAGACATTAAATCTTGTTGTTATCAATTTCTTCTCTTATAAGATATCCTCATACCCGTTTAAACAAAGAAAGTATCTTCAATTTTGATCGCGATAAACATTATTTTCATCACGCGAGACAAAAAGGAGAAAGAAGTTTAATCGATTAAAGGTCTGATAATTGAAACAGATGAAGCGAAAAAGATTCAAACGGAAGGGGAAATATTTGTTCATGTAAGCTTTCAGTGTCATTTTTGATAATGAAAATAAAGCGTTGCTTGTACTAACATCGTTTTTGTTGTTAAATTTATTAAATCCCTTTTTTATTTCTTTTCAAGTTTTCACATTACCTATTAAGGTGGGTAACTTGAAATAAAAACAAAGAAGAAAAACGAAAATGGTCGAAAAGAAAAGAAAATCTTTGAAAGTGTCTGGAAAAGAGAATTTCATAAAGAATAAATCTTAAACAGTTTTTGAAACATTTCATTAACAAAGATTTGCTTTTTGAGTAACGTTGCAAGTGAAAGCTTTTACTTCAATGTTTCTCAAATTATGCTTAAAGTTGATTGAAAAATATTCTTCGTGAGAAAGTCCTTAAAAAGTAAAGAATGAAGAACATAAAAACTCAATTTATAAAAAGATTAAATATATTTCGTCACGAATTCATGAATGAATAATTTGACGAGGAAAAACAATTATTCGTCTTCATTGAAATTCAAAAACTGTGTGCAAAAACAACACATTGCATAAAGAATACGCAAGAGAATAAATATTCATTAATGGCAAATGAAAATGGGGCAGCAGTGGGTATGACGGGGGTTCGAAATTGATTTATACTAATCTGTATTTAATTAGAATGAAGGCAAAATGATGTTAGGGTGAGATGGATGAGAATTTGTGTGACCCATTCTCTCGTTTTGAAAGATAAGCTTCAGTTGTTGGACGGACTTGAACGGACCGCTATAATCCATGTTATTATCTCAAAACAAACACTACGTCTCTTTATCCCCTCTCTATCTCGTACATGCTTCTACGGTTCTCATGAAAATTTATTTGTTTGTTGTCACAATCATCAGATTTGTACTCACCCTTTCTCCTTCCATCACACCCTAACAACTTTTCATCTCATGCAACATCAACAAAAATGACATCATGAAACGATGACTTTCGTTGTTTTATGGTAGGTTTTTAAGTTCTAAGTTCGAACTAAATTAATTTATACAAAATTTTGTCTTCACAAGCTGAAAAATTTATTCGACTATGTAAAGTCAACATCAATGGACGTCCAATAATTAATCGAAAATTGACATAAATTTGTATTTTGAGTAACATTGAACGATAAATTCCATTTGATCAGATAAATATCTATCTAATTTGTAAGGGATCTCATCATTAATGGAACAGAGATGCAAATGAATAAATAATGCGATTGTTTATTATGTCTAGATTCATTTCTTATTTAGTATGAAGAAATTTCGTGTTATATTTTTTTGGAATAATATTTTTGGAATTCACAAAACAAAAAGAAAATCCGAAGCCTCTTTTGACAACTGAAATGAAAATTCTAGTGAAATTTATTAACGGGGAAAATTCTTTGTACCTGATTTATTGAAGACATGTAAGTGACATGCTTGAAACATGGCGACAAATGAAAAAATAAATTAAATTTCATGATTGTGATGCTATTTTTCAGTGAAGATTCTTTTTAACTTTTCATAAGTTTTAAAAAGTTTAAAATTTTGAGATTCAATGGCGCCAACTTAGCAAATGACTTAACATACAATATCGAAATGCTTCAAAGAATAATTTTAATTTTAGTGAGAAATTTTTCATTGAAAAAAGTTCGGGGAGAATACATAATGAAGATTTAAAAATTAAATGTCTATGTGTAAGCATGAGTTTTATGTGATGCTCGAAAATTTCATAAAATCGCTTTCAGTATCGTTATGCGCCTTACCGTTATTAACAACAAAGAAATGCATTCAACATTTTAGTATAATACTTTCTTATAAAGTAAATCATACGACCTGATCTATGACTATGACATGTCTTTGTCAATATTAAAACATTTTACGGGCAAATTCGTTAGATATGACATCTTATTATTCAAGTTTCAATCTTGAATTTCATCGCTCATATTTCACCTAATAAATAAATTTTCTTATCTATGTAAAAACAAACATGTATTGATAAAACGTGTACAAGCAACTTTCAAACTTGTTTCAACACAAGGTTTTAAATTAAATTTTGAAGTCATGTAAGATTTCTTGATTTCAACCTAGTCGAAAATGGAAGCGAGAAGAATAAAAAAGCTTTTTTCACAAAATATAAATATTTATTGCAACTTTCAATTATGCGTTGAATTCTCATACATAATCAGCTGCCATTTTATCAAGAGAAGAATTCTTTTAAATGAATAAAAATGTTGTGTAAGAAATTCCATAAAATAGAGAACAAAAATTAGAAGAAACTTTAATTAGAAGCGAGATAATAACTCAAAAGAAATGGCTTCGATTATCTTTTAAGCATTCATGAAAATTATCAGATCATCTTGAATTTATTTGTTTCCAACAATCCAATTCATAGATTAAAGAACAGCAATTTTTCTATTATCTAGATAATTTAGAGCTAAAGCAAACACATATTACAAAATAAAGAAAAAGTATTCAAATTAATTAGCGTACTGATTGAATTTAGCGTAAAACTTGAGTACATAGAATACTTATCATGCAACAAAGAAGTTTAATCTTGAAAAATTTTCTTTCTTGAGTTGTAAAAATGAATGAATCAATGCATAACAGAAGAAGGAGGAAAAATATAATTAAATAAATCCCTTTTATAGTCGAATTTCAAGAACACAGAAAAAAAACTTATATATGTATTCAAATCATTACAAATATGCGAAAAATGTGATTTGCAGTCGAAGAAAAATAATAAATAAAGGAGGAAGATATTTTGGGCTCATAAATAATAATAATAATCAACGGATAATTAATACAAAAATAAATATGAGAAATTTAACAGTTTTACAATTTGTATTGCGTTTACAAGACAAAAAAAATCTAAGAATTTGGCGGAATCAATTTTTTGATAATTTTTTGATAAGTTGAGTGATCGCACATGACATGCGAAATATTTATGTAAAATGTTTGAAGCATAACCATCAATACAGAAACTCTCGTATTCTTAATAATCAAAGACAAAATACTCTTGTGATAAATGTAACAACGTTAATCATTTCCCACGAGAGAAGCAAAATTTAAGATAATTAATCTGCTAACTTAATAAGGCAAGCGATAAAAAACTACCAAAACCTTTTTTTATGATTAAGCTTCGTGCGTGCGTTTTTATATAAATTGTATTACCAAATAATTTTTTACCTCCCAAAAAATAAAATTAAAATAAATACAACCCAAAAGGTATATTTAAAAAGGTTTAATGAAAAGAAAAAAGAAATTAATTTGAAATTAAGTCACAGATTTTTTTTAACTGAACTAATGTCGTTGGTTTATTTTTATTTTTTTATGACGAAGAAATTTTCCCACATGGAAGAAAACAAAACTTTTATACAAGAGAAGACACTAAAAAAAGTTGAACATCACATGATAATTGAATGCATGAATAAGAATAAAAAAATGTTTTATTTTTCTCTCATTGATATAAAAGATTAATAATTAATATTAAACCAAATAAAAGTTGTAGATTTTTTTATTTGAATATAAAAAGATTTCACAAAAAAGATGAAAAAAAAAACTTTTAAAAAAGTGGTGACATATTTTAGAAAAGATTTTCACAATAAAACATTACAACAACAAGGAAAGAGAAAAAAAAAACATAAATGGATGACAAAACAAATTGAGAAGAAAAAAAAATCATTAAGCAAAATTATATATTATAAAAATGAGAAAACCACATGAGAAACTCTTTTTTTAGGTGAATGGAATGTTTTTATACTTGTAGTAAAAATAAAAAGTAAAATAAAATTAATGATTTAAAATTTCTTTAAAAACTTTTTTTATTGTTCCACAATCTTGAGAAATTACTTCGTGCTTGGATGGAGCGGTAATCATCCCAAATTTTTTATGTTTCAGAGACCGTAAATGTAACTCAAAGTTTATCTACTGTTAGTAGACCACGATTCAAACTACCAGTTTCCATTAAGAAGAACTTTCCACCTTATGATAATCAGCGGATGTTCACTGTCTATCCATAAAGCTGTTAGAAAATTCTTCCTGAGACAGAAAAAGAAAAAATACGAAACGTCAAAAATGGCGGAAGTTTGTCCACAGAAATTCGCCACGGGGAAAAGATGCTAAAAGTATTTCAACGTGTCGACCTGTTGCTTACATCATTCTCCATTTTACTCTTCTTCTCTACAAACTCAATTTGCTCGATCGGAAAAGAAAAGCTTTACTTAAACAACAAGGAAGAAAAAGTTTCTTTTTGTCATTGAAAAAACTTTTTTATTTTCCTCATAAAAAAGTGTTCATGTTCTATCCTATCTTCAACTTTAGTGGCGGATAGAAATTCCATTTTTCCATACACACTGACTCTTTTTAGTTCGAAGAGATTAAACTTCAACCAATGTTTTAAACTTTTAAAAAGAACCTTTTTTGGGTTTCATTTTCTGATTCCTTCGTTGTGAAAACAAAAGTATTGGCTGGCGAAAAAAATCTTGAAGAAAAAGTTTTCGGAAAACAAAATAAATTTGAGATTTTTTGGGTGAAAGTTAAGTCAATTTTAAAGTTATATTAATTCATAGTTGCTCTAACGACACACACATTGGATATTTGTGACTCACAGTAACAAAAAGCAAGAAAAAATCCTTTTAAGATTTCTTCCAATTATTTCTGGTTTCAAATATTGAGGTTTTAGTAAGTAAGTATCTCTTTGAGCAATAAAAGGAAGAATCTTTCAGGGAATCTTCAAAACTATTCCAAAATTATAAAAGTTTCCTCTTCAGCAAAACTTTTCCTTCTCTTCCATTTCTTAATTAAATCAATAAAATTAGTGTGTTTATAACTTTAGTCTAACTACTCAAGAGAAGTTTCTAAGTTGATGCAGGAAGTTATTTTAATATTCATTATGATCGTATTAACCGAATCCACATTGAGGAAATAAAAGCTTTCGGATACAATTATTCGAGGGAAAAAAATTGTTTGCATTGCTTAACGTTCTCAAACAAGTATTTAAATATTTATTTAACTTGAATCTCTGGAACTTCGTTCACTTAGTTTCATTTTATAAGGATTGCGAAACAATGAACTTCCAATTTCAGATATGTAAATAGAAAAACTTAGCAAAGATGAAAATAAACGGAAATTAACATACTTTCCGAACAGAAACAACAAAAATTCGTTATTTATCTTGTTGCATTCACATTGTTTTAAATAATGAAAGAAAAGTTACATTTTCTAAGTGAGTTCACTCGAAATCTTTGATTCAATTCTACCTCTGTTATGTAGAGGTGAAACGAAAACATTATTGTGACATGTATCTTAAATTATGCATGTTGCTTTAATTTTTACTCACTCGACAACGTTTGTCTTTTATGTTTTGTTTTCGTACACTTCCTTTGGAAATCTTTGGAGGAAAATGATATGAAGTATGAATTTCAGGCAGTTGTTTTGTTCAAAATTCTGCACTTTCGTGAACAATGACTTGATTGCTTAGACATTGAAACCAGATGACAGCAAACATTTGAAATTCATCATTTTGATTTAGGAGTCCGATGATATTCTTTCGCGTGAAAGTGAAGTCAGTAAACATGAACGCTATCGTGTCATTCTCAGCTTTAAAACTTAAATAATAATTATAAAGCTCATTTTAAAATGGGTTGCAATATATTCATCTTATCATTCGCCTCGTCGTTGTTGTGATTTCATTTTACGAGTTTCCATCATCAGAAAAGGAAATTAATCCAACAAGTTTACAGCTTATGAGTGATGATGAAAATGAAGGCATGAGACATACGAAATAAATTCAACTGTATGAACAATCACTGCCATAGGGCCACACCTTTAATCTACGCAAGCAAAGGCAAGTATCGTCCAGATGTTGAACGGAGTTTTTTGCGATGAGATTTTATCGTTGCATACCAAATTCTTTTTACAGCTGAGGTTTTCTCCCTCAGCCATTGGAACAACAGCGAACACGTTTCAAGCCTTTTTTATTATGTTAATGCCTTGGATCATCATCATAAAAATTCATCAACATTAATGTTCATGGAAACGCGGCTTGCTTTTTCCTGATACATAATGAGAAGGGAGATGTAAATACGTTTGCATTATTTTAATAAAAGAGTTTTATCTTCAGCAAATCAATGTCATCACTTTTTTCTACCAATTTCATAAGTAGAATTAATGGTGATCTCATTTATTTTCACAACTTGAACAAATCTATTAAATTTGTGTGAATTTTTCATTAAATTGAATTATTCGACAAAAACAATGAAATAAAGACGATTGAGAATCTTGAGGAACAATGAGCGTGGAAATCATGTTCAGGAAGTTCCACAAAATGAAGATATTGCATAAAATCTTTGAAGAAGTAAAAGTGGGCTGAAAATGAGAAACTTTTTCATTCTACACAATAGCACGATTCATGAGTGCACTTAAAATTAATTCAGTGCTTTATAGAAAGTCGGAAACAAAGCACTCAGCATTCTTATCACGTTCAGAAACTGCATTTACAACTGTTTTGGGACGATTCGTTTGCATTTCAGAATTCAGTGAAGAAAGAAAATTAAATTAGCTGATTTAAGTAACAGCATAACAACGCTCCTTTTCTCTAAATTATCCACAAGTTTTTCAGTAGTTGAATTAATGGTTTACGAATTTATTTTTGCATGGAGATTGAGGAAAAACTTCATTACTGAGTTTAACCAATTCCCGGGCTTCTGTGACGTTAATGAATAAAAAAGTTTTTTAGAAATCCATAATTTCGAAGGGATTTGTCATGGAAAAATCTGGAATCTACATTAAAGAGAACTTTCCAGCATATGGAAAAAGCTTTTCATAAATTATTCGACTCTTAAATGGTTGTCTTTTGAATAGAGGGGAATTTTTATGGTTATTTTACAAGAAACAACATTTTTGTTAAAGATTATTTTCAAAGATAAGAACTGTTCGATGTTTAAGGCCTTCGATCGAACAAAAAGTTATGTTTGTGGCCAGTTCTTCAAAAGTCGTGAGGTTGAAAAGTGATCAAAATATTCTGATTGAAAGCTTCAAAAAACGCTCAAATTTTCAATCTTTTATATTATTTGGATGAGTGTGGGGTAGCGGTACGGAATGCCACTACGGACTGTCATTTTTTTTTCCAAGCTCAAATTGCGAAAAATGTCCATCTCTGAAATAGTTTATAACATGGATTGAAATTCACATTAGATAGAAATACTGAAACAAACTACTGATGAAATAAATTTTGAGGACCTTGAGATTGACTTTCCTTTCGATATCAAGAGTTGTCTATGTAAATATCCTGTAACGTTTCAACTATCCTGGCTGTTTTTTGTTAGACATGTCTTAAGTTAATATAAAAGCTTAGATAAGTTTGCATCAGTATTGCTCTGCTTATACTTGATAATTGTACAGGTGTTAATCGTGTTGTTGTTCCATTTTTCACCTTGATACGAATATCAATTTGAACTTTACAGTTAAAAGATCCCAGTCTGGTTGCAATATCTAAATGAAAAACAATTTTATATATAAAGTTGAAAGCAACTGTGTCAACAATTTTCAGTCAATACGCTTTAAAATAATCGTTAACTGAGTTTTCTGTCGATCGTTTAAAAGGACATGCAATGTAAAAGTACTAAGAAGATTTAAATCATGTGAACCTTTGTCGTGGGTCTATACATTGCTCAAGTTAGTTGATCATTTTGAATGTTTATTCAATATTTTTCTTTTATCACAAATTCAATTTGTTTCGTTTTCTTTTGTGATTTTCACCATATGCATTTATTGTTCATTAGTATAAGATAAACTCTAACTCCGCCTGAAATCTATTGAAAAGATATTCCTTAAGATGATTCTTAAATAAAAATAACGTATAACAAATACAACGACGTGTTCTTCTTAATACCCGATATATCAAACGATGTGGCTTGTGTTGCTGAAGCTGATATCGATTTATTTAAGTCCGTATTTTGCGATATTTTGAAGAATTGATGTAACGCTTATTCAGGAAGAAAACATGTGTAAATTCATTTTTATCAAGGTGAGATTGAGTCAAATAGATTTATTTGGCCAAAAGATCAGCTTGAATAAATTTATTTCTGATCTTTTTTCCAACACTGATGTTATTACCGCAGGTGGTTGAATTTCTCCTTCTTCTCAAAACATTTTCAAGTGTTTCAAAGTTCAGAATGACGTTTTTAACTCATAATCAACTTCACGATGATCTTTATATATTTTTTTAGTCTCGTAGTTCAGTTATATAACTGCCCGGATAAGTTTTATTCACTAACACTTTTTCATATTTTCGCGTTATTCGATCAATATTATGTTTCGCATTTTATATATAAACGATAAGTTTTTTCTTATAGAAGCATCATTTGAATTTTAGTTGTCAGCAAGTGCACTCGGCTATAAAATGAAAGTTTTCATCCCATTATTTTTCACATTGGTTATTGCTTTTGGTTGTAAGTAGTATTTTCTTAATGCTTCATCTTGTATAAATCAGTTTTTTCTCTGCTCTAAAGGTACATCCGCCGAACTAAAATGTGAGCCCATTAATCCTTGCGCTGCTATCATTGCTCGGACTGCTCCTATTTACAATGATGCGATTGAAAAGATGAACGAGCTGAAGACTGAATGCCTTGGATCCATAAATGATGCAACATTCAACAACCGTGATGAATATGATACATTCTATAATAATTTTAATAGTGATGGTGGATGTTCAAAAAGGCTGGTATCAGAATTAAATACTGCTATTGAAGCACTTGCCAATACTTTCGGGTTGACATTTGACGAATATTTTCCAAGCATATTTTTTTCACAAGAAAGAACAGGCGATGTGGCTTGTGTTGCTGGAGCTGATAACAATTTACATTTCTCCGTATTTACCCCTATTGTTTCGGTATGGGAAAACGCCCTTTCAGCAAGGAGACCTTAATGAATATATTTTACCATTTTCATCAAGGTGGAATTGACTTATTTTTGAATAAAATTATATTGTCATCCCTTGAGATGAAATAATAAATCAGAAACTTATTGCATCTTCAAAAATTTGTAAACGTTATTCATTCATACAAAATTTTAACCAAACGATGAATTTTATGCCAACCCAGCAAAAAAGTCGTTTTTTAGGAATTGAACAAGCTGATGGTGGCTTGAATAAATTTATTTCTGAGTTTTTTCCAACTTTGATGTCATTATTAATACAGGTGGTTGAATTTCTCTGCCTTTTCAAAACATTTTCATACCTTTCGATATATTTTCATTTTTTTTATTTATATTTTTCAAAGATCGTGGA